TCCTCTTCGTGGCTGCATTCTGGGTTGGGGTGTGTGTGGCAAATGGATCAATAGCTTGCACTAACAACAATTATGCATCAAGAGAAAAGTGCAAAAAGTGCGGGCAACTGAAGGAGATAGCGGCGATGCCGACTATTGCAATGGCCGGAGCTTCTCTCCCAACTTATTCACATTATTTTGCCAGGGCCCAAGGAACACTGGAACAAAAGATGAATGTGGTATTTTTAGGCAGTGGTTCTCCCCAGCAGTTGCTTCCTTTGACTTCTAACTGGCATGTAGGCAGTGCTGATAATTACGGACTTCAGTCAGCATCCACATGGCCTTTAGCTGGAAACCAAACTCCTGGGGTTCCATATGCCAATCCTGGTAATCAGCCGCTTTCTGTTCCAAAGGGATGGAGAAATGGTGACTGGATTTGCAACTGTGGCTTCCATAATTACTCTTCACGTTCTCAGGTCGTATCTTGCTGCCTAAAATGGATTGTGCGTTCTTCTTTGTTCTTTTTACAAATTCTACAACATATTCCATGTCATTATTTTTCTGATCAATCTGGTTTTATTGCAGTGCAAAAACTGCAATGCATCCATACCACCAGGTACATTCATTTGTTTTGTTTTGGTTTTAATGCTTATATTCTGATCTGTTGGTTGGTTTTACTACTAGTGATAGAATCTTTACCTCTTTATTTTCCTTTTTTGGGTTATATAGCACTAGGAACTAAGCGATTAACATCTGAAGAATTTGTACATGATTGGGATCATAAAAGATTGAATTCAGGACAAGTAAGTAATCGGTTTCTGTAGTGACATGTATAATTAATGTTATTTTCCAGCAGGTTTTGACATTTTTTATCTATTGAACTACTGTTGCTCTTTTCTGGGTTTGCAGGGTCCTAGATTTGACCAAATAGTAGGAGCCACCAGTGACCCAAAACCCGAAGCATATCCTTCCTATCCCAGTCTAAACCCTGTTGCCGCTTCAAATTGGCCAGGGCCCGTTCCATTCCCTCCTCAAGCTGCAACAACCCTTCTTGGAAAAGGGTAAATTTCGATTATGTTTATCCCTTATATACATGCTTTTCATATATCTTGGAAAAATTCGTCATTCATTTCATGTGGTAGATAATAATTGACTCTTTTGTCAACATATGGCAATGATATCTTTATTTTATTATATTTTTCAATCCTTTAATCTTGTTGGATATTGTCACTGATTTTTAGCTTCTGGAATTGTTCTTGGGATTGGTTTTGTTTGCTTATAGAGTGCAGTTTTCAGTTCTCTTGTTTCTTACTTATTGTAGGCTTGATTGTAGTATGCTAAAGAAATGGTCACTTAATTGGTAACGTATTATGAACTTCTGTGTTTAGAATCCAATCAGGTTTATGTTCAGTTTTTTTGCATTAAGATGCTTAGTAATACGTCTAACAAATATGATATTTTTCATGAGATTCAGAGGATTGCTTTTTAAATCTACAAATTTTAACATTCTCCATTTATCAGAGCAAAGCAATGGCGCAACGGAGATTGGATGTGTACAAAATGCAACAATCACAATTATGCATCTCGAGCTCAATGCAATAGGTCTGTAGATAAATTAGTGGCTTTTACAGGCTGATTTATGCAAGCATTGTGATCTTCCGAAACATGATGTTATTGATGTGTCTTATACCCATCAATAATTTGATGTCTGAAGTGATTTACTATTAGAAAGAGAACTGCTTTATATATGGTTGCCTGCTCAAGATTAATGGCAATTTTCTTTGTTCTGTCGGTAGTTTCATGTACAGTAATAACTTAAATCGTTGCATGAATCTTATACGATAATTGTGGAAACTTTTATTTCTTAAGACATCCACTTCATAGCATCCTTTCAAAGCTAGGAGTGAGTCCCTAATGCCCTGATCCTTTACCCTCCTTGGGAGGGTAACACCAATAGGTTGACAATTTGACACTGCAAACTTCACTTAAAAGGAAGATAATGCACTTTATTTTGGAGAAAACTCACATTTAGCGGTTAATTTTCATCATGCAGGTGTAAGACTCAGAGAGAGACTGTGACTCAGCCGGTAAACGTGGCACTGTCTCCATTTAATGCCGGTTTTGATTCATGAAGATTTCTCTAGTACATTACTCAGGTTATTTTGTTTTCTCTCTCCTTACTTTCTTGTACAAAAAAAACAAAAGCTATAGGTTTGGTTTTCATTAGTTATGATTATGAGTTTTGAATTGAGAATGGTGCAGAACTTTATATAACTTCTTGTATAATACTAAATTGTATAATTTGAATGGTATTTATTGTGTAAATGGTTGAAAACCTTGTGGTGTATATGGCCCAATTCAGATTGATTGGTATTTGCCCATAATGCCTGCCTGGTTCCATGATACAACATCTTTCAGCCTGGTTCCATAAAACAGAAACAAACATGGACCCACATCTACGGTGTCACAGTAGCAACCATCGGTGTCGCTCCCTCCTTGCCTGTCTCTATGATGAATAAGAGAGAAAGAACCTCTGACCATCTCGGACAAGTCTTCTCAGAAAATGTATGGTGAAATGGTCTTCCCGCCAGGATCCGCTGGATCGACAACGAGTCCACCAAAACACTAAATAGAAAATAAATTATTTAAAAATGTCCATTTTCCATTGTACCAAATGTCCCTCTTAGACCATAGCAAATTAAGCATAAGAATATAATTTTCACTCTTTAAATTCATTTGAAAAATGTTCACTTCCCATCGTATGATGCCCTATTACACCACATTTAAACGTACCCTTTGTACACTCACCCCTTGTATAGTTAAACGAAAATCTTCTTTGGTACCTAAACTGGTAGAAACGTGCAGCCCCAAACTTTTTTAAATCCCCATTAGTTTAAATGTTTTTCAATTTAAGCCTTGTCTCCAATTTTATGTTTAATAAGCCTCTGAACTTTTAAAGTTAAATAATCTGATCATCCTAATATTTGACCCTGATATATCCCTGAAAACGTGCAACATGCTGATCTAACAACTGATATGGTCTCGGGTAGTCATCCCTTTTGCTGTTATTTTGGACAATGCTCAGTGTCCGCTGTGTGGCCATGAATCGGAATCGAGTTTGCATTTAGTCCGAGACTGTATATGGTGGTAAGGTCAGTACGCTTACATTCTGTGTTTTCCCATCATTGCCTATAGAGGATTGGATGGAAATTAAACTGGTTAATAAGTGTGTTATAGAAAGTGGGAACTGGAAGTGTGTTGTTGCAAGCTGAGTTTTGGGCGATTTCAATGGTCTTAATGTAGCGTGGCATGAAGGTTATAGGAAGGTTGCCCTGGAGTCGGATAACAATGCTGCAGTGTTTGGAATATCAACGCTTTACTTGACATAACATGGCAAGTTACAATTGCTCGAGTTAAGAGGGAATCGAACTAGGTTGCAGACTACATTGCGAGGACCAATACTAGTTCGAATCATCAATTGCGGGTTTATAAACAGCCGGTTGCAGGTACATGAAGACTTCTGTCAACAGATGTTCTTAAAGGCTGAGCTAATGTTATTTTCTGTGTATCTTAGGCTAGTTCAGTAGACTATACTTATTATTATATTTATATCCAACAGTTAATTCCTTGAACATAAACGATATTGGGAAGGCAAAATCCTTTTCTGATCTTCAATTTCTTGCTTTCATAGAAAAATGTTAGTAGCACTCTTGATTAGCTCTAATCACATTGATCTGATATGCCATTTAAAGGGCAAATCTTCAACATTTTCTTTTTCCCAAGTTTTTTTTATATCATATCTGTTCCAGTTACCTTTTGCAGCCTAAAAGAGTGACTTCCAGAGTGGAGCACAAGTCTTTACATCCACCTATATCTCGAAAGATACATTAGCAACCTGGCCTCTGTTCAGGAAGTTTAACTTCGCTACTCCAATAGTCGAAAAATTCGGAGATCACAGAGTCCTATACTTCTAGTATCTCATGGCAGCACCTCCTCTATTGTAAAACCTGTGCCACAAGCTTTTAAAAGAGTCCAAATGGAGAACAGTAAAGCTTCTGTTATAAAACTTAATTCTTGGTAGCTCCCAAATTACATGTAATAAATATTACATCTAAATAAATATTATTTTATTCTCAAAATAAAATTTTAAAAACTAAAATTTAAAAAGAAAATAGAAATAGAAATTCATATAAACGTTAAAAGATGAATTTTGATACTATGCATAGGAAACTTCTAATTTCACTCTTGACGTATCTATATTATATTAAGAGTTTAAAGTTTTGGAAAACTCAGAATAATTTGATTGTTGAGTTGGCGAATCCAAAAAATTATAAGCGGTTGGGCCAATATAAATAGAATAAAAAAATATCATTGGCTTGGATAATATAGTCAAATAGAATTTATTTTTAGGGTAAAATATACAAATGATCTTCTGATTATAAGATATTGTTTTATTGAGTCACTCGACTATTAAAAGTTATAAAATAGTATGCGATTAAATTTGTTGAGACCCGCGAGTATTAGAAGTTACAAATTATAATTTTTTATTAAAAATAATAATTTATTTATTTATTTTGTTTAGAATTTGAATTTTTAAGTTATAAAAGTTAAAATTATAATTAAATTTTAATAAATGATTACTTTTAAATAAATCCTTAAACTTTTTAATATTTACATAATAAGAATAAATTTACCTGTGGTACATTTTAGTACGTCGCTTTAGTGGTACGTTTCGATATGTAACTTGTGCCGTTGAATTTTCCCTTGTTAAATATTTTATTTTTAACTAAAGTAGTCTGGATTTTGTAATAAAATATTTTTAACTAAATTTGATAATAAAACAGTTAATTTAGGTACGGGAATCAAATTAGTTAGACAGCTGATTTTTTTTTTTGGGGAAAAACAAATAGAAAATAGAATCTAAAAATACAAAATTAAATTATGTTTGATATTTTTCATAAAATAAGATCATTTAATAAAAGAAATATTAAAAAATATCTTCTTCCTTTCTTCCTCCCCTGTTTCCAGTGATTTCTCTCTGTTTGGGGAGGTTTAATCATTTGTCTCCTTTTGTTGCTATTTATTTCATTTGTTTTCTTCTGTTTTCTCCCTATGAGAATGCATCTCTAAAGCTCCTTCCTTTGATGCCCTTTTCTCTTTGTCATTGTCATGGGGATCTGTTCGTCCACCACCAAAGTCTGTGGCGCAAGAAGCAGCAACCCCAGCGCCAGCAGCCGCAAAGAAGAACGGCCCTCCACCGCAGCACCGAGAACAACAGCGACCAATGAGAAAAAGGGGAAACATAAGCCATCGGCTAAACAAGAACAGCAACAACAGGTGAGGGATTCTCAGCCTCAAAAGCCCAAAGCGAAGAATCATTCGAAGAAACAAAGCGGGGTCGTGCCCTGTGGTAAGCGTTCGGATTTTGGGTACCGGAAAGATTTCGACAAGCGATACACGATCGGGAAATTGTTGGGGCATGGACAATTTGGTTACACCTACGTTGCCACGGACAAGGAAACTGGGGATCGTGCGGCCGTTAAGAGAATTGATAAAGAAAAGGTATACATTTCACGTTTTTATAAATCCTTTTGGTTCATTATGCTTCTGGGTTGATTTTCACATTCAAGATGGGGTTTTTTTTTTAATTATTTTTCGGCTGTCAACTTAAAATATGGAACTTTTAGGATCAATTTGAATTAGAATTCTCGAAAATGGTGGGAAATTTGCCTTTCATTCTGGATTCCTTGTTGCTTATATATTTTAATTTCCTTTTATTTTCTATCTTGCATCTGTTTAGCAATCTTATTTATTGAAGTTTTAAGATCTTGCTGTGTAAAATTTGCTTAATATGATTTTCAGGAGTAGTTGAATTTGATCAATATCATAATTGAAACTTCATGTGCAGCTGTAACCTTTAATTATCTGCATTGTTTTATGTTTCGAACCGGCACCAAATTTGTATAAGCATAGTGGAACTTATTTTTTTCCCCTCTATATCTTACCTTAAAACCCCTGGATTCGGAGCAGATGGTTCTTCCGATTGCTGCCGAGGATGTCAAGCGAGAGGTCAAGATATTGGAGGCCCTGAAAGGCCACGAGAATGTGGTTCAGTTTTATAATTCATTTGAGGATGGCTCCTATGTATACATTGTTATGGAGTAAGTTTCTATGTTTTATCTTTCCATTCAGTTCTGCATTTCACTTATTCGTGTCATTTCGATTTTCTTGTCTTTTGATATTCAGTTTTTGCATGAAATAGTTTTGTTTTCCTGGTGATACATCTTTGGCCTTCACCTATACATATATGTTTTCATATTAATCCTTGTATCTTGACTATAGTTCGTGTTGGTGCTATCTGACTATAGGTTATGCGAGGGTGGAGAATTGCTGGACCGGATATTGTCCAAGTAAGGATATACTTAATTAAGTTGATACTTCCTGTCAATGTATTCGATAGTGTCACTTCGGGTGGTAACTTATGCTTGCCATCTTCTATCAGAAAGGATGGCCGCTATAGTGAAAAAGATGCAGCAGTAGTTGTTCGGCAAATGCTCAAAGTTGCTGCTGAGTGTCATTTGCATGGCTTGGTTCATCGTGACATGAAACCCGAGGTATGCTCAAGTACATTGAAATGGCTTGTAAGATTTCCTTTTCAGGAAGTCATGCTACATGCTTATTGTTCCTTCATTTTGTTTTTGCCTGTAGAATTTCCTATTTAAGTCAACCAGTGAGGACTCACCTCTGAAGGCTACAGATTTCGGTCTGTCGGACTTCATCAAACCTGGTAAGTGGCATTTTTGGCTTGCAAATCTTGTCATCTTCACGGGACAAACATCAAAGCAATATAATCTTGAACTAAGAGTAAATGCAGGGAAGAGGTTTCAAGATATTGTTGGAAGTGCCTACTATGTTGCTCCTGAAGTATTAAAAAGAAAGTCAGGACCAGAATCAGACGTATGGAGTATCGGTGTAATTACCTACATTTTGCTTTGCGGGAAGCGGCCTTTTTGGGATAAGACCAAGGACGGCATATTTAGGGAGGTCTATTCCGTTTCCTAATCATGGATCTCGATATATTCTTTTATTGCTTTCTATGGGTCAGGCATTTGTGCTATGCCTGTTTCTGCACCATGCACATGTCATATGACCTTCCGAGTTACTTTACCATCTTTTGTTTTCCCTGATTATCCATGCTTTTCCCTCTGAAATTCACTTGACAATGTGCGTCACAGATGTGTTATATTCTGGTTTTATTCATTTAATGGACTTTTTTTCCGGATAATTCATATGCAACTGTCAATAACTGCAGGTTTTGAGGAACAAGCCTGATTTCCGTCAAAAACCGTGGCCGACAATTAGCGAAAGTGCCAAAGACTTTGTGAAGAAGTTATTGGTGAAGGATCCCCCGGCTAGACTGACTGCTGCTCAGGCCTTATGTATGTCTTTTAATCATATCTTACATGTCAAGTTAGCATCTGGCTCCTAAAATAAATCATTTTTCTTCATTTTCAATTTAGGGCTATTTCTAGAATTTCTAATTGGTTGCAACTTCTTCAGCGCACCCATGGGTTAGAGAAGGAGGAGATGCATCCGAGATTCCTATTGATATATCTGTTCTGAGCAACATGCGGCAATTTGTTAAGTATAGTCGATTGAAGCAATTTGCTCTGAGGGTAACCTACTTTTTCTTCCTCTTGAAACATTAGTGGATTGGGTTTTGGTTGTTCACCTCTTGATGCTTGAGTATTATTATTATCATTATCTTGTAGGCATTGGCTAGCACACTTAATGAAGAGGAGATAGCCGATCTTCGGGATCAGTTTGATGCAATCGACGTGGATAAGAATGGTGCTATTAGTCTTGAAGAGATGAGACAGGTAAACATTCATGCTTGACATCTGTTCCATCTTTTCCTTTTTCCCAGCCTAATAGGGATGTTATAACGCAGGCCCTTGCTAAAGATATCCCATGGAAGATGAAGGATTCCCGTGTTGTAGAGATTCTTCAAGCGGTGAGTACAGATTTTCTGTTCAGTCTGAAGGTCATTCTTTTCGTTTTCGTTTCTCTTTTGATGGTTTTTTTTATCTTTGTGAGGTTGTTTATTTCCTTTGATATCAGATTGATAGCAACACGGATGGACTCGTTGATTTCACCGAATTCGTCGCAGCAACTCTACATGTGAATCAAATGGAAGAACACAATTCCGAGAAATGGCAGATGCGATCGCAGGCAGCTTTTGAGAAATTTGATGTTGATAAAGACGGATTTATAACTACGGAGGAGCTTAGAATGGTAACTATTTTTATTTTGGTATTTATCGATAGCTCAGCTTTCTATGAACAATAATGTTCCGTTGGTGGTGCAGCACACTGGATTAAAAGGTTCCATTGACCCTTTGCTTGAGGAGGCTGACATCGACAAAGATGGGAAAATAAGCCTCACAGAGTTTCGTCGACTTTTACGAAGTGCAAGCATTGGTTCACGGAATATACCTATTCCCAATAAAACTCGGACGCAATAGGGTTAGCATGGATATGAAAATGGAAGATTTGCGGGCATTTGCCCCGGCTCAGGGTGTTTTTGGGTGACAAGAGTTAATGTTACGGGTCCAGGTACACATGGTCATCATGTACACATTTTCTTTGGTTGGGTTTTGCCCTCCAAATCTGTAATGATAAATTTATTAATGAAAATCATTCTCGTGTTTTTAAACCGATCTGGTGTTTGAAGAATGCCATAAGCTGAGATTTATCTTCTAATAAGAATTATCAAAAGAGAGTATTTACAGAGGAGAATTATTGCATATCTTCAATCTAGGGAAAAGGAAAAAAAACGCAAGTCATTATTTTACAATGAGTAGTTCCATCATCTCTTACCAGTCTTCAATATCATCGTCAGAAATTTCACTTTTTTCATCCATGCTCGTTCTTTGCAAGCTATCAACGTCGGACTCGTGAGTTTTGATATCTTCAGCTTTTCTGTAACCAATCCATTTTAACACAGGTCTATACTCCGTAGCTATGACAGATACTTCAGATAAGCTTGACAATCCACCATCAACGGTAAATCTCTGCCTTAGCATCTCTTTCTGCATCATCCAAACATTTTCTTTTCTTTTTTACTGAATGGCCCCAAAAAACATAAATTCATAATTACTACAGCCAAGGAAACTGGACATCAAAACCACCTGATTGTGAAACAATGATTGCTCTATTTGCCAAAGCTTCGGTTTGCGAATAGCATGCCATCTGGTACAATAGCACAGTCATAACTGGCTCCACAATGCAAATTGTAAATGTCGTGGAAACTAAAGCACAAAAACAGAACCTTGAAGGGGATGGATGAAAATTTCCATAGAGAACTCCACGAACTGCGACTGAAGCAGCAGCTGACTGTAGCACATTCTCTGCCTCACTGTGTCTTGTTGAAGTCCTTCGATAGGTAGAAAGAAGCAAGTCGGCATCACCGAGATATGAAGCCACAGTCCATGCATCATCCATTGCCTCGTCACTTACAAAATCTAGAACTGCAGGAGTTGGATAGCAGTAAATCAGGCATGACAAACCAGATGGAAAACAACTTCCAACTTTGGTCTGCATATTTCTCACACAAAGAAGGGCAAAGAACAATGATAAAAATTACTCAAAGCATAAGCTATTGAAGACAGAATAAAGTACCATTTTCATGAAGAAAATCTGTAATAGGTCTTGATTGCCCATGTGCTTGGCAGAGTATCTTTTCAGGCGAATCCATTTTAAAAGGAAGTCTTGAGAATTGCTCCCCTACTCGAAACACATTTTGGTCTGGGACAAATGTTTTTTAGAAAAATCAGAGCTAAATTACTTAGATGTATCTACCACTTTTCTTTTTCGCATACTAGGTCAAGCCCATGCAAAACAACGAAAAGAACTACAATTATTAAATTTTCTGTCAAGACATACCTAACGCAACTACATTTTCTGTGTCTCTTTTGTTATGTAAAAATTTCCCCAACGCATGAAAAAGTGTCAGTGTTTCATCTCTGCCGTATTGTGAAGAAAATCCACAGCTGAAAGTATGGAGCTCATTTGCATTTTCTTTTGGGTAACTGACAGTAGAATTGGATGAAGATAAACCAAGATCCACATTTGGTTTGAGACAGAAGAGCTGTAAAGATGTAATCGCATGTCTGATGTCACCTCCACTGGCTTTAGCGATCAGATCAATCTCTTCGGCTACCACATTACAGAGCTCCTGTTTGCATATTCTAGAGAGTGTTTTCTTTATGGAGTTATTTGTTATAGGATTAAAAGCAACCTGCAATTTCCTACTTGAAATTAGCAACCACTGAAAACGAGTATAAACCCAATACCAATTTTCTTGTAAGCATAACCTTACTAGCCCCAGCACTCTCAAGTGACAACTGTAGTTCTTCCATCCATTTTGCAGTGAGGTCTGATGAATCTTCATTGCCATAGTCAGTAATCAATATAGCTGTTGGTATCCTTGTCGATCTCACAAGCAGAACCAAGCACCTTTTAAGTCTTTCAAAAGCTGATCTTCCATTAGTTACAGGAAGATCATCAATCACCAATATGATTGAAGACTTTGAGTTCCGATTGAAAGATGAAGATATTATCAATCCATACTTCCTCACTCTTTCAACAAAATTTTCAAACTCATCCAACTTAGAAGTGTAATTCATACCTGGAAACAATATGCCATCATCAGCAGAAAATAGTCAATTGGGGAGTTCAGAAGAAAACTAGCCTTTACAACCATAATTCACACCTGCAATTCTAAATTTTATATTTCATTTCAAATAGGTTAACAAACACAACTATTAAAAACATAATTGCTACACAACAGCTAATGATGAAAACTCCCAGCATCCAGGTCAATGAAATAGATGTTTTTTACATCATTTTTTCATATAGCAAACCTGCTATGATTCTGCCCAACTTCGCCATGAAAGATGCACCTAAATACCTGCACTCGAGTTATGAACATGTTCTTGCCAAATTGTGGGAGTAGGTGTGTTCCATTCACATAAGTGTGCCCCAAGCTTAGATGCAATCGCATGGACAGTGGCCTACATATGATAATCAATTAAGCTTGCAGGTAAATGCTGTTGTAGTCCTATCATTAAAGCAAGACATGCATAAATAGCAACAACATGGTGTCTTGCATAAAATGTAGAAAAAATTATCCTTTTCCAAGACAACCTACAGATTTTCCAACCCCAGCCGGTCCAGAGATGATGAGAACAGAACTACAACCAATCTCACCCTGTAAATACCAAAGATAAGGACAAGTATAAGAAGAATAATAAGGAGATGCTTATTCAACATCAGCAATAGATAACCGTCCCAGCATCCCACTTTAATACGCTATAACTACCTTTGGAGTCCTCAATCTTTCCTCGAACCATGACTTAACTTCTTCAACCTACAACAGACAAGAGGGAAAAGATGTGAATTATTAGATTAAAGATATTCAAATGGACATTACATTAAATCAAACTGACTCTCACCTTTTTCTTGTTAACAGCAAGCTCTTCCAAAGAACAAGGCTTGTGTTTATCAACCCACAATTCCTTTGGGTCGATCCTTTTAGAACCTAGACAATATTCTATTTCCAATTAGGCATATAATAATTTTTTTAATGGAAGCTTTATTAAGAGGAAAATATGCACAGCATACCGGAAGAAACCTTGAACCCATTCAAAACCTCATCAAAATCTCTAAAAGCCAGTCTCATCTGCACTAAACAACGAATTCAAAGACGTATACACATACAATAAAAAGAGAAAAATGAGAAAAAAGAAGAAGAAATAGAGTGATTTACCTCATCTACATTGCTGGATTGTTTGGTTAAGCGAGATTTCTGGAGACGAGGCTTTTTGGCTCTACTAGGGTTGGTACGACTGAAGGAGGACTTCGATTTCGGCTTCTCGTAGCTCCGCTTGGACCTCGAAGAAGGCCGGTAATCATCATCGTCTGATGAGGATATCACGACGGTGTTCCGTTTCCCCATTGCTGGTATAATAGAAAGACTATGAATAGGGTTTAGAAGAGTAAATGGGAAGCAGTGGGAAAGACGAGTGTTTGTCTTCGCGGGCTCAAAAATGAAAAGGGCGGTGATCTTTTTAGACGAAGACTAGGAAACGGGTGAGGCGTACGAGGGAAGCTAATCACAAAATAGGATTAAAGAAGGGTTAATAGCTGTTTTCGCCCCTGTACTATAACTAAATTATCAAATTAGTATCTATATAATGGTTTTTATCGGTTTGGTCGTTATACTATCAATATCACAATACCTCATGACGTTTTCGCATACAAAAAACGTCGACGTAATGCATTATCTTTTGATTAATTATATTTTAAACATACTAGAAATGTTGTGTTGAAGAGTCTCAAACTCAATATGTTGAGATAAAATTATCACCTCAAATCATTGGATCAAGTTATTCAGTTGACGTTGATAAAAAAAATTGTTTAACCTATAATGTATTTGGAATTAATGAAGAAACTAATCAAATAAATAAAGCACGGTTAAAAAAGGATTAACCTTATTCTCCTTCAAATATCAAATTTCATAGAGCTTCAAATATCTCTCTCTCTTAGCTGAAATTAATTTCTTTCAATCATAGAACTTTCAATAGGTAAATATATCATATGGATCGAAGGTGAATGGATATTTTTTAAACGGAATATTCAAAGTTTGAGTTTATTTTAAATACAAGTATTTTGGGTTTGTGGGTTTTTTTTAATAGATTTTGTAAAAAAATGTTATAATATGCCTTTTTTATGGATTTATAAATGGATTGTTCATAATCTTAAAATTGTGATCAAAATTTTGAAACCCTAATTTATGAAGCATTGGGTTTTCTTTGGGTTTTTATTTAGGTGTCTCTTAAAAGCATCTAATTGGAAAAAAGTTGAAATTTATATATTTTTGTGTAGATATATTAAAAAATTATACTGCCATGGGTAGTAAAGATTGTTTTATTTGTTCGTAGTTGTGAAAATGGTCTTTCCATGTACAATTACTGCAATATTTATATTATATGTTCTATGGGTTTGTTATTGTGATAGTATTATGTGAGAGTGTTTTGAGTTTTGGTGGGGTCTATATTAAATAAAATTATATTTTTTTAAGATATTAGCTACTGACAAGTTTCCTAGTTTGGTAGGATCAGAATTGTCTATATGAGAAACTTTGGAAGATATATATTTACATGACATGACATAATTAATTTCAGTGGATCAATTTTATATGGAAGTTTACATAATAATAATTTTTCCTAGTTTGATAAGATCGGAATGCAAAAACTACATTTACATAACATAATTAATCCCAATAGATGACGTGACAAAGGAAAATGAATAAATAAATAAATAAATAAATTATCCCTCATGACTTTCTTATTGTTCTCTTCCTTTAAAGGTTACAAACTCATAGCTTGAGCATTTCCTCAATGGAAAAAGTTTGCAAAATAGTAAATATATTAATAATAATTTATAACTTTTTAATATAAAAAATTAGAATTATTAACATATGAACTTTACATAATACTTCACTAAATAATAAACTCCCCACCTTTTACACTTTGAAAGCTTTTTAATTGATTTAAAACCGGTCTAAGCCTGTATAGGAATTTATTAAATGCATATGTTGTGTTTTAATATAAAAAAAATGCTAGTCCAAGCCTGTATATGCATTTGTTATAAGTGGAAAAATTTGGTATGCTAATTGCCATCAATATGTTAAATTAAAGTAAAATTTTAATTCAAGTACTACATTCTTGTTTTATGTAACTTGTTGGTTGGTACATCTTGATATAGATTGCTGTAATTTATGTGTTTTGTGTATTAATTTTATATTTGTTGACATGGGATTGTTGCAGTTTGTGTGTTTTGTTAATTAATTTTATATTTGTTTATTTTGTTAAAATGTAGATGTATGAGAATAAGGAGTACGACATAAATTTGTATGTTGGGGAAAGATTTGTTCAGGATTCATATGTGAGATATATATATATATATATATATAATGATAAAAAAATCGATAATCAATTGAATCGAGTTTTTATTTGAAATTTCTTAATAGATAATTATTATGATAATTGTTTGATCAAAATATTTTAACCTTATCATATATCAAATGTCTATAATATCGGTTCTAAGAAAAACATTTCATTTATTCAATTTTTAAACAACTTTAAAATCTAAAAATTTACTTCATTTCTCATAGCTTAAAATTTAAGAGCTATCATTTGACTTTCTTTTGGCCTTTCTTTGTTTTAACAAATTTAACCCATGATTTGAAAATTTCTAACATTAGACAACGAAGTTTTGACAATGTAAAATTGTTCATGAACTTATTGGATGTACTAAATAATAAAAAGTGTTGTTTTAAAGAATTTAGATTTAAGCAATTACGATTATAGTATATTTTATCAATCGACCTAAAAAAATCTAAAAATATATTACATTATAATCACTCTAGACTATTAAAAAGAACAGTTGTTCACCGTAGTAAAAATCCATCCCGATGAAAGATGAGAGCTTCCTAATGTTGTGTTAGATACAATCTTAGGAATTTTGAGTATTCTTTCTATTGCACACAAAAACGCAACAAAAGCATGATAATCGTAAGTTTTTGTAAGCACAACTCTTGCTTCAAAAGTTCAAATTTCATATTTGTTACTTCCCACCTCCGTTAAGTGGTTTTAGTGGTTAAAATGAATATTATTTTTTCTCAAGACTCTGAGTTCAAATAATTATATTTACAGAGTGTGTATTGCCAATTATTAAAAAAAATTATAAACAAATATTTCATTATAATCACTTATACTATTAAAAAAATCCCTACTTCCCTTGATCTCTCATTTTCCCTTTTATTTTAACCATGTTAAAACTACTTTTACAACCTTTTCTATTTGTCACATAGACTATTTATAATTTTTTTTGTTCACCCCATATCAAACATTTACTTGTATAGATAAATTAGTTCACGTGGCATATTATACATGCACACCACAATAAAATTGTGGGTAGAGGCAGAATTCAACAACGAAACCAAGTCACAACTACCAAAATCTTTTGAAAGGAAGATAATTTATTGTCTTTATCATCCACATAGCAATAATATTAGTATACCTGCCTCGAAAGTAAAAGTCATAGGTCACATTAATTGTTCACAGGTGATAGTGATAAATCATCAAATATATAATATTAAATAAATCACTAATACGAAATAAATTAATCGACAAAACGACATCTGAAATTTTTTCCTCTCGATGTCCGACCATAACTCAACACCAAAATGAAAACCATTTCTTTATCGAACATAAGACCAAAAGGACACGATAAACGCGAGAAACAAATTGTTTGAACATTTTTAGACTTCTACTTTGTACTATAAATAAAGATAAATTTTTTTAAGTTTGTCCATCAATTTAAAAGCTTTTTCTTATAAATTGAACACCATCATCTGCTACTATAATTTCATTTTTTTAATAAAATATCAGTGAGTTATATACATCATAAAGTTATATTTGTTTCACGAAACTACGTATAAACATACATTATTTGATAAACAAAGTTACTGTTAAAATATTTAGTTCTATCATTGATGGTGGGTGCTACATGCTGCTAATTCAATAGTGTAGTAACAAAGAAATAGAGGCTTGAGAGACAAGATATTGATGGCTGTCTGCTCTTGGCGAGGGAAAAGATTAGTTTGGTTATTTTCCAAATTCGTTGCGATAGTCCAAGTTCGCGTTGCGATTTATTCCAAATTCGTTGCGATAGTCCAAGTTCGTTGCGATAGTCGAAGTTCGCGTTGCGATTTATTTCAAGTTCGTTGCGATAGTCGAAGTTCGCGTTGCGATTTATTCTAAATTCGTTGCGATTTATTCCAAATTTGTTGCGATAGTCGAAGTTCGCGTTGCGATTTATTCCAAGTTCCTGGTGGTATTGCATTTGTTTCTTAAGAATTTTCTCTAAAAATATAGTATTAGCGCGGATGTGTCGAATACACGTATTACCACGACCCGACCCGACCCGAGACGAGACGGACGGCGGCGGCGGCGGCGACGCACGAGAGTTCCCTTGTTCTCTATCACTCAACAATGAAGTGGGAAAGTCAAGCCTTAAATACTATTCCCAATAGTGTTTACAATACTATGTGGGATTGAGCATTACCAACACTTGTTCCCAATACTATGTGGGATTGAGCCTTAAATAGTGATATTATTTGTGAATTATAGTTAATGACTTTAGTATTTTTATGAAAAGTATTTGTGGTTCGTTTAGTTTTCATGCAATTCTAATTTATTTTCAATTGATTGTAATTGCACGATAACAAATTTTTTTTTCTCGCGAGTGATGCAATTTTTTTTGAATGTTTTGCTTAAAATTGCAATAATCGCGATTGATTGTAGATTGACTTTTAATTATAACATATTTAATCGTATAATACTAATGCAATTGGTTGTTGATTCAGTTGTTTTAAGGTGCATGATTGTTAATTGTTTCCTGAATAATCACATAGTATTGGAAACAAGTGTTGGTAATGCTCAATCCCACATAGTATTGAAAACACTATTGGGAATGGTATTTAAGGATTGGCTTTCCCACTTCCTTGTTGAGTGATAGAGAACAAGGGAAACTCTCGCGCGTCGCCGCCGTCCGTCTCGGGTCGTGGTCGTGGTCGTGGTCGTGGTAATACTTGTCTTCGACACGTCCGCGCGAATACTATCTTTTTAGAGAAAATTCTTAAGAAACAAATGCAATACCACCAGTCGTTGCGATTTTGGACTATCGCAACGAATTTGGAATAAATCGCAACGCGAACTTGGACTATCGCAACTCGAACTTTGACTATAGCAATGCGAATATGTAAATCGCAATGCGATAGTCGAAGTTCGCGTTGCGAATCTGGAAATTGATTTGCGATATCGGATATTACGTTGCGAATTATCAATCGCATTGCGATTTAGTTGGTCATTTTGACAAATACAAAAAAATTGATTAAAATTATATATATTATAAGACATTTTTTATCACTAGGTTATTTTCTCTTTATAAAATCTGACCGACCATCTAATAAAGGACTTTTCTCATAGAAATCAGAAGTTTTTGCAACAAACTTGCTTGAGGCTATGTCCCTTTTTTATTAGATTGCACACTTGGTGGGCTGCCAACAAAATAAACTATTGCTTAATTGTTGGGTCACATGCTAACCGTAAATTAATATAACTAATGTAATCAGATATCATTGTATTTTTTAAAAATTTTAAATTTAAATATATTTTAAATGTTTTTTAATTTCTTTTACCGATAGTCTAAATTTTTACCTTTAAAATTTTATAATTTTATATTTCTGAATTTTTAATATTAATTTTTCTCGTATAAAATCTTTCATTGGTCACTACAGTCACTCAATAACATTATTGTCAAAGGGCTTATTTATTTGGAAAGGAAGTACCACTGCCTAGCCTTAATTGCAAGAGCAAGTCAATTAGCACATCAACAGGTTTGCTTCGAGCAAACAAGACGAGAGATTGTAGGAAGATAGGTAGCGAGCATGGAGAATAGTGGGAAGGATTACGTAGACCCGCCGCCGGCACGGTTGTTGGACATGGAAGAGCTCAAGAGCTGGTCCTTTTACAGAGCTCTCCTAGCCGAGTTCGTTGCTACCCTTCTGTTTCTTTACATCTTAGTTGCCACTGTTATCGGTCACAACCAACAAACCGGCCCTTGCGACGGTGTTGGTCTTCTCGGTATTGCTTGGGCCGTCGGTGGCATGATCTTCGTTCTCGTCTACTGCACTGCCGGCATCTCCGGTATTCTATTTCGTCATTTGTCTCGTCTTTTCTATGATCAAACATTTAAATGTGAACTTGCTAAACAGGTGGTCACATTAATCCGGCCGTCACGTTCGGGCTGTTCGTCGCCCGGAAGGTTTCATTGGCTAGAGCGGTGGCGTACATAGTTGCACAGTGCCTGGGAGCTATTTGTGGCGCAGGTTTAGCCAAGGCATTCATGAGGCACGCATACAATATGTATGGGGGCGGTGCCAACACTGTGGCTCCCGGGTACTCGAATGCCACCGCTTTGGGAGCCGAGATAATCGGAACTTTCGTCCTCGTCTACACCGTTTTCTCCGCCACCGATCCCAAAAGAAGTGCACGTGATTCTCACGTCCCTGTGAGTAATATTGTAGCACAAAACTCTAAGTAACAACTACTCTTAATGTAACTAAGCTTTTCTGTGTGTCTGACTTTGATTAGGTGTTAGCTCCCTTGCCAATCGGATTTGCTGTGTTTGTGGTGCATTTGGCCACCATTCCCATCACCGGCACCGGGATAAATCCGGCTAGGAGCCTCGGTGCGGTCGTGATCTACAACGGTGAAAAAGCCTGGAATGATCAGGTTAATTTATTATTGATTTCATTTTTTCACCATGAACATGTGGATTAAACGTTTAGTAATAGTGTGTTGGTGATGAAAAAACAGTGGATATTTTGGGTCGACCCTTTCATCGGAGCGATCGCGGCTGCGGCATATCATCAATACATTCTGAGGACTACGGCCAGCAAAGCTTTGAAATCCTTCCGCAGCAGCCCTGTAATCTAAAAACGCCGATCCCCTTGGATGTTAAATGATAAGCTTTCTCTTCTGTGTAATTTTCTGTGTTTCATTGTTAAATTTAAAAATGCCTTTCCTTTTATCATTTACTGTATGATTAGTCTTGAATGAAAGTCAGTGGAGTAGGTATGGGAATTTGAATGCAATGGGCAGGCTTATATATATAACTTTATCAATTAATGCAACGAGATCGATATGGGACTGCCGGTTGAGATGAGTTTCCATTTACATGATAATGTGGCAAAGTCCAACAAAATAAGAAATGAATGCTTATGAGGCAAGTCCACCAACCGTTTAACAATAATTAGAATTAAGTTTAGGGACATAATTAAGATGAGACAGATTGTGAGCTATTCGAGTTTGATTTAGTTAAAACTCAATTAATACTCTAATTAAATGGACTTGATTCGAGCTTGAAGTTGACTCGAGTTTTTATCGAGCTGAAACGAACTACTTGATATTCGAAAAAATAATATATTAAATTTATTTTTTTAAATTAAATTATTAATAATATTAACATCTACATGTTTTATGTGTTTTTTTAATACAAATTAATACTTTCATATACTTAAGGTTTATGTTTAGACTTAAGTTTGAACTTCAATCGAACTAAATCTGAGAATATTTTGAGTTCAAATATTTTCGAACTCAAGTCGAGTTTGAAAATTTCAAGCTCACGAACTTTTGAGTCGAGTCAAACTCAGCTTTAAAATTTTCAAATATAATCAAACTTAATCATACTTAAATTACTCATTTACAATCCTAATTATGCCAAATCAACTTCACTCCCACGTGTGTGTAAAATAAAAGCTCTATTTAATTGAATAACGTACCTAAACAATGCCCGAGTCCATTACATATATTTTGTTCCATAGAAACAGATCTTTGGTCACATTTGATGGGACTGCAACCCGCACATAAAAAGAGTGACCATGCACATTGTCAAAAAGAGCTGCCTCCAAGGTCAGCCCTACTTAAAAGTTAAAAGTTTCCTCTCATTTGTTGTGATTAGGATATGCATTGATTTTCCTTGATTCTAGGATATGACAGGTCAGCACTACTTTGAAACTTTTTTCATTTCACCTTAGATTCCCACCCCCACCCACCCATCTGATTAGTCAGCACTTCTTTTTTGTGCTTCTCGTTGTATCTCCTTAGAAAATGAGAATAAAAAATTTATTTCTAATGAATATTGAATTCATAATCTAAAAAAACAGATGTTAATTAAGAACTTTTAATCAATTACTTTAGTAATTGTTGACTAATAACTAAGTTAATAATAAGTAAAGATTTAAGATTAAAGTAATAATCAAATTACTAAAATTAATAATCAATATCATTATATCCGTTGTTCACCCATGCCCCTAAATCATTGCCTCTCATCTCTCAGGACCACTATCCAAAATCCATTAAACATAAAAAAGTCATAACCAAATTATTATAATATATAAAGAGTTAAAATATCTCTCATTGTTTTTTAACAGAAAATGATCAATATATTTCATTTTTATTAGAATAATCATTTTGTATTTTTTTATAGTTAACAGATATAATAAAAAATCTTATAATTAAAGAACTAATATGTAACTTATCTAGCATATAATTATATAAACTTATATATTAAATTTTGGGTTTGAATCGAGCATTCAACTTTTGAAAAAAAAAACTTTAAATCTCGAATGGTTACACATTTAAAGAAGGGTAAAATTAGAAAAAAAAAATAGTCTAATATTTGTTTCCACTCTTTGAAATAACCTTACAACTTCAGTGAGATGGTTGATTACTTTGATCAACTATATTACTCTTCTTTTTATTGACTGCGGGTGAAAGGACTGATGCTTAACAACTAACATATTTATTCTTGTTCATATTATAATCCAACATATGTAATGGATATCTAAAAATTGAATTCTTACACAAATCAACTTATATAAATTGTTACAAGAGTCGTTGTTGTTCCTAGAGGTCACGGGTTCGAGCATTAGTGACTGCAAGGACGATTGAACATTTATTATTCGTTATATTCACGAACAAGCTAGTTTGTTGGTTTTATAAGTTCGTTTGTTGACTTGTTTATAAGCTCTTTTATCGACTCGTTTATAAGCTCATTTACTCGGTTCTCCTTTTCATTTTATTTTTTATATTTTAAATATTGATAAAGATATAGACTAAATTAAATATAAGGTTAACTTTAGAGTTCAAACTATAAAATCTAAATAAATTAAGGACTAGTGATGTAATTTCACCATTAATAGAACATTAAATGAACATTAAATGCATTGGTTGTCAAACATTAATAGAACGTTAACCTAATATATCTATGAACATTAAATAAATATGTTTGTGAACGTTAAATCAATGAATACGAACATCTTCAAGAATAAATAAACAAAATGAACACGATATTGAAAAATTAAACGAAAATAAACCAAATATGAACATATTCATAAATAAATAAAGTGACGTAAATATAACTTTATATGTTCAAATTTGATTCATTTACGTCTCTAATTAAAAACCGTGGATTTTGAAAGTGGTATCAACTAACCTTCACAACAATCATGTTGATAACTCCACACCGTCCATCAGAAAACGATTGGATGCCGTTGAAGATTTGTCATACTAAATAAGAATCAACCGAGAAATCAAAGGAGAAATCAATTCAAACCTGTGTTTGGTACATATGAGGTGCTGTAGAAGACAGCTATCGAATAGAGCAAAATCGTAACTGATAATTTGAGAAAATAAAAATGAAGATAAAAGAGACACAAAATTTACGTGGAAAACCCCTAAATAATATAGGGTAAAAACCACGGGCAACGGTAGAAGAATTTCATTATGAGAAAATAGGAATTACAACTTCTCTCGATCTACCAAGGAGAAAACAATGATAATTCTCTCTTGATAAAAATGAGAAAACAACTCTCAAGAAACTCTCTAAATTATCTAGTATTGGGAGAAAGCTAAAAATATTTGGGATGGATTTGAAACTAAATGAACTAGGGTATTTATAGTTGAAGCTTAGGGACTAATTTTATAAATATCTTAAAATACAATGACTAAATTATGATTTAACCATTATTCAAAAATCAACAATTTAATACCAATTAATGAACATGCACCGAAAATTTTATTGTCTTCGACTCTCCACCGAAAGGTTGCCATCAATTTGGCCACTTGCATGTTAAGTTGACTTTTCAGCAGGAGGGGAGTGAGAAACTCAGGAACTGCAGCAGGTCCAACGAGGCGACGAGGTTTAGGGAAAACGGGACGTTGCTCAATACCACCACCAAAACCAAATTTGGTCGTCGATGACTCTGAATCTGCATGATATAAGGAAACAATAAGGTTCCAAGTCACAACTAAACATAAAAAAAAGAAAAAAACACAGCAGTGACTTGTGACTTTATTTGTGTTTTGCCCCCCCCCTCCCTTGATATTATTAATCTCTCATTCAAATGGCTGTGAATAGAGAAGAATTGTATTTAAAATGAATACTGGGTAGGCACTGCCACCCATTGAAAGAGAGAGAAGAGTGAATAGGAATGAAGGTGAAGACACATTGGGTTTGTAGAGAGAGGTTTTCACAAGTGAAAGGAGAGATACAACTTGCACTTGCTTGGCTCAGAGTGGATAGACTATAATTAATTTTGCCCAGCTTTCCTCACGTGGAATTTTTCTTCTCCCATTTTCAGGATTATGAATTAATAATATTACTTTTTTTACCTATGTGCGTAAAATATTTGTTTTATCGTTTGTCTCATTTATGGTTCTTTTATGTAGAAGGGAGTGTTATTTTATTCTATAAATTTTAAATTTTAATAATTACGTTTATAGATTATGTCTTGTTAATGATTAAATTTTTTTAAAATAAATATTACGTTATAATCAATAATAACTAAAAGTATCTCTTAGACATATTAATAAACATACAATCAATAATAATCAGTGAATATTGTTAAAAAAATAATGATATGTTATAATCTTATATCATTTTATAATCATCCAAATTATTAAAAAAAAATATCATCGAAAATAATTAGCTTACACGACATGCATACACTAATAAAATAACTTTTAACATTTATTTTCTCTTGAATATCTTTGTTGTTTTATAAGTTTAACAAGTTTTATGGCTATTATAAATTGCGTGTTTGAATTAAAATACCAAATGATATGTTATAATTGTAGGTGATATGGATTGATTTGCCACCTAAGTCTTTATTGCCACCAATTCCTGAAATTTCCATGGATAAACATTCATTCTTTGATTAAAGGTTTATTGAATTCTTCGAGTGAATTTAATGATAAAGAAAAGGTTATAAATTCAAACAATAATATTTATCGAGAATACTAAATATATATTATTTTGTTAAATTATTAAAAAATTATATTTATTATGCTTGCTTAAATGGATGTGAAAAGACACTGCAGCCTCCAATCAACATGTAGAAAAATATCTAACTCCATTAAGATCAACCGAAAGCACTCTCTCACTTCAAAATGGATGGTTTGAGATCAAACTCATAAGCTTTGAAATCTTCCAATGGATCCTCTCTCGCAGTACCTGTTCACCATACTCTGCACCCTTACTCTTTTATTTTGCATTTACTTTTATCAGTCGTCCAACAAGCGAACCCAAAGCTGCTGTGCACCACCACAAGCCGGTGGTGCTTTACCGATCATCGGCCACATGCACCTCTTCGGCAGTCAGCAGCTCACCCACAAAACATTGGGTTCTATGGCCGACAAATATGGACCTGTTTTCTCCATAAGGCTAGGATCAAACAAAGCGTTAGTTTTAAATGCTTGGGAGATGGCCAAAGAATGTTTCACCGTCCACGATAAGGTCTTTTCCACGAGACCAAACATCGCTGCTTCCAAGCTTCTCGGCTATGATTTTGCTTTGTTCGGGTTCGCCCCTTACGGACCCTATTGGCGTCAGATGCGCAAGATTGCCACGCTCGAGCTTTTATCTAACAACCGGATCGATACACTCGAATATATACGAGTTTCGGAAGTGAAGACTGCGATAAGAGGATTATTTAGGTTTTTCATGAAAATTTCAAATTATTATATATTTTATATATTTTGTTCGTGTCTTTATTGATAATTTATTTCATTTTTTTTAATTTTTTAATTTTATCCTTGTAACATAAAATCCTACGTTTTCTGTTAGTACAGGTCATGGCTTGACAGAGATAGTGGAGTGTTGGTGGATATGAAGCAGTGGTTTGGGGAATTAACTCATAATATCGTTTTGAGAATGGTGGGAGGGAAAAGATACTTCGGACCGGACGCCGATTGCGACGAAGCCGAGGCACGACGATGTCAGCAAGTAATGAGAGACGTGTCTTATTGGTTCGGGGTGTTTGTGTTGTCCGATGCTGTACCGTATCTTGGGTGGCTGGATTTTCAGGGACACAAAAAGGCCATGAAAAGAACAGCGAAAGAATTGGATAGCATTATTGGAGGGTGGCTGGAGGAGCATAAACAGAGGAGGCTTAGGAGTGAAGGAGTGATAGAAGAGCAGGATTTCATGGATGTGTTGCTCAATATTCTCGACGATGCCGATATCGGTTCTTTCGACTCCGATACGATCAACAAGGCTACATGTTTGATATTGAATCAAATTTTAATTTAATAATTAAATTAGATTTTAGTATTATTTAATAACTAAATTTATTTAATAAGTAAATACTTATTTATACAATAAATTTTATGGAATTAAAATTTTTTGGTGATTAAATATTTTAACTCTATAAATATCAAAGTCATAATGTCAAAAATGTATCTAATATTTTATTAAATAGTCACATTAGCTCATATATTTTTAGTGTTTTGGATGCTAACCTTCATTTTAGGGGGGAAATTATCGACATTGATTAAATAATTATTTTGACTAATTTTCTTCTTTTAGAGCATTTTGAACTTTCAATGTTTTATTTTAGAGGGAAAAAACTCTTATTTTGGAGCGCTAACTGTTTATTAACTAACGATTTGCATTCGCGAAGAAATTTTTTTACACAAAATGAAACGTTTGAGGTTAAAATGCTTAAAAAGAGGGTAATGTGACTATTTAGTCAAATGTTTATGCATAAACCTTTGGAATTATGAGAGATATTTTATTTATAGAGGTGAAATCTTTTCATAGTCCATGTAACTTTTGATATTTACATTGAAGAGATAAATTTTGTACGGATATTGAGAGAGTGATTTGGGATACCCCGAATTTTGGTATAAATATAAGATTTTAAAAATATCATATATTTGTATCATTCATAATATCTACGTTTATAATGGATTATTGTGCTTTTTATTTGTAAAGATAGACAATGTCGAACAACGATAAATTTGATATCTTGTGTATGTTATTTTCTATGTTGATATCGTTTAGTTTTGTTTTTCACTTACGAATTCTTTAACACAACGGAATTTATTTAAACTCCGCGTACCGGTTTTGACCAAATTATTCCAAATAATGTTATATTGTTTTGGTAGGCTTTAGCCTTTGCGGGGAACGACACAACCATGGTGGCACTCATTTGGGCACTGTCTTTGCTACTGAACAATCCTCGCGTGCTAAAAAAAGCACAGGATGAGCTAGACATGCACGTTGGCATGCATAGACCATTGCAAGAATCTGATATAAAAAACCTTGTCTACCTTCAAGCCGTCGTCAAAGAAACGTTGCGGTTATACCCTCCTGTACCGGTCATTGGTCATCGGGCTGCATTAGAAGATTGCACCCTATCGACCGGCTACCACATTCCACCTGGTACACGACTACTGGTAAACGCCTGGAAGATTCAACGCGACGAACGTGTTTGGACGGACCCCCATGAATTCCGGCCAGAGAGATTTGTTACCAACAATAAGAATATCGATTTTCAAGGCCAATCTTTCGAATTCGTACCTTTCGGTTCGGGAAGAAGATCGTGCCCCGGTGCCTCACTTGCCCTCAGGATGTTGCACTTCATCTTAGGCAGCTTCTTGCATGGTTTTGAAGTCACTAAGCCGTCGAAGTTCGAAGACATCGATATGACGGAAAGCACGGGGTTAACTAATCTGAAAGCAACCCCTCTTGAAGTTCTCATCACTCCGCGTCTTGAATCTAAGCTCTATGAGCTATAGGCGTAGAACTCATTTTGCTGAAAGTATTCATCAATCTTGCTATACCATTTCCATGTCCAAGAAGCCTGCTACAGTTCGTACAATGCTTTTATCAACTTGTACACCTCTATTTCTTCGCCTTTAATTGTGTAAACTTTCTCTTGCAAATCTCTATAGCGACTTGACATCAAATAGATAGCCTATTGCATGTATTTTTATCCATTAGTTCTAGTACAATATGAGCGATCGGTCACCTTGGCTTCTAAGCCTAAGCCTAAGCCTAAGCCTAGGTTTTGGTCTTCCCCTAGGGATGGGTTCTCTTTGCTTGGGCCATAAACTATTATTGTAAACATGTACAGACGTAAATTAATAGAAAGTATAAAAAAAATTAAAATATAAGAAAAATTTTAAATTAACGATCAAACGTTTGATTTTTTTTCTCTTTGCATAAAAACTTCTCTCTCTCTAATGATAGTAAATGATAGGAGAAAAGAGAGAGAGAGAGAAAAGAATGAGTCAAGAAAAAGTTGATCAATTATTGTCCAACGTGGTAAATAAATTAGTCTAACATGTCACATCATCTTTCCATCACCCACTTCAACGGTTATTAATATCAAGGGGCCGATTTATTATAAAATATTAATGTTAATGTTCGATTTGTTATAAATCGATAAGATTAATGATATATTTGTTACTTTTGAAATTTCAGAGAGAAAATATAAACTTACTCAAATGTTAGTGACATTTTGTGTATTTTACCTAAAATTTAATCTTGGAAATATGTGTCACCATTTGATTGGAGGTTATTTTTTAAATTTTAATTTATTTAGTCTAATAAAATTTAGGTTCTAATTATACCATGATGCTTTAACCTTTATTCCCTTTTTATTTAAGCTGTAATACTTCTTGAAATGTTCAACTTAATCCCTATTTAACATTTGGGGGCATTAAACAAACTATTAAAATTATCCTTTAAAAAATTAAAAATCTTTCTATAAAAATAATTTTATAGATGTTCAGTCATTACCTAAGTCAAAATAATTATTGATGAATTTATCTCTTAAAACAATCATATTTTATCAAAAATAATTTTTTGTTGAATTAAAAAATAATCTCGACAAACAAAAAAGTCTACTATCAGTAATTTCTAGCTACAATTTAGTTGTGTCTTTAATAATAGAGTTAATTGTATTATATGTCTCCAAATTATGATCATTGTTTTAAATTGATGTTTAAACTTTTGAATATTTTAATTTATCCTTAAATTATAACTTTTATTTTAAATTAGTTCTTAAACTTTTAAATATTCCAATTTCATCCTCAAACTATGACCCTCATTTTAAATTCCCCAAACATATCCAAATAAATATTTAGTTTCAAGCATAGTTTGACATAAATTTTATTTTATTGTTCAAACATATAATAATATAACCTGACCTAATGATTTTATTAACAAAGGATGTGATTAGTATATATAGGATGAAATTGAAATGTTTAAAAAGTTTAGGACCAATTGAGAATGAAGGTGATAATTTGAGGATGAAAATGAAATATTTAAAAGTTAAAAAACTAATTTAAAATTATAGTCATAATTTAAGGATAATATTAAGATTTTTAATTAATTATAAATAAATTTAAAATAAAAATCATAATTGAGGACGTATAATATAATTAACTCTTAATAATAACTATCAAACAAAATTAATTGTCTGCTTAGAACGAGTTTTATGTGTCTGATTTAGTAAAGGAAATGAATTTCTGTACAATATACTAAATACTAGCGAACCAACTTTAAAAAGAAAACAAAGGCTGGCATCGTCACATCAATGCAGTGAACCACCATATATTGTACACTTTTCTGGTATGATTATAATAGCACGTACTTAAAGTTTGAATTCCACCGACAAATGACAATGCAAACTTTTATTTTAATTTTGGGGGTTGTTTGTTTATGTTATAATAATTAAGTGATGAATGCTTTAAATATTAAATGATTTAGAGTCTGTGTATGAATTAACTCTGAATGTGACATGTTGTTTGATAATGGCTCTGAATCATTCAGATGTACTTCTGTGTTGAATTATTCAGCACTGTTTTGTTGAATCAGTCAACATTAAATCATTCAAAGGTGCGAAACAAATACGCTGCAGCGCTGAATGATTCTATTAAGAGACAAACAAACAACCCTTTAGTGTAAATTATAAAAAAAATTAGGATCTATTATAATAATCTTTTCATCACTAAAATTATAATAAATTTAAAATAACCATTAAACGTTTAAAACGATTATAAATGATGATTAAATTTTATTAAATTATTATAAAAAATATTAAATTTAATAAATTATTATAAAATAATCTTTAAACTTTTGTAAATTTATCATATTTTATAACATACTACCCTATCCGCTCTACTGTGTATAAAATCCCTCCAACCCACATTCATTTCATCCACCATTTCCTTGCATCCTCAACCACACAACAACAACAAAATGCGTCACGGTAAAAGCTCAGCTAAAATCTTGTCTCTTTTAATTTATTGACACTGCAAGTTCAAGTAAATTGTTAGTAATTTTCTGTCAAAATAATCTCTGCAGAGCATGGCCATGGCATATCCATCATCACCTCTATCGTTGCTGCCTCTGTAATCGGAGCCGCCGCCGCCGCCGCCGCAGTAGCTTATACACGGCGGAAGAGTGAACCCCTTAAAGAACATCAAAATATCATTACCCCTTTCTTGTATAGGACCGAGTCCTGCCGTGTTGGGAAGCTGGAAAGATTCTCCCACTACGTTGGTAATATACATAAAAGCCCTTGTTTTTATAAACATTCAAGGACTTAATGTTTTGATTTTGGGTTTGTGGATTTGGGATTAATGCAGCCAGGCAGCTAGGGTTTGAGGATGCAAATGAGTGTCCAGAGCTCTGCAAATTGGCTAATGAATATCTGAAAAATCCTGAAGATTGTGAGGTAAAGATGTTTGAATATTTTGGTAAGGAAGAAGGAGGTGAGAATTTGTACGTGAAGTTGATGGAGGAGTTGGAGAGATGCATCCTTTGTTATTTTGCTTTCCATTGGAGTCGTGCTCCAGATATGATTACCCAGGTCTGAATGTTTCTTATCTTCAAATTCGAAATCTGTAAACGTTTCTTTTATTTGTATAACCACGTGAATCCGATCTCGGTTAATCTGGACTGAGTACTGCAAAATCTCAATATAAGCACGTCCGTCCCAACCCAGTAGTCGATATATTAAATCGACTAAACATTATCTTTTTATTAATGATCCGACATAGATTTTCATTTTAAGTGTACAATGTGTTATCTTAATGGAATTGCTTGAATGGTAGGTTCTGAGTGTTGAATCTGAGAAGAAACCAAAGCTAAAGGACTTAGTGATGACAGCTACAAGGTGAGAGTGAGATTAATTTCATTTTCTTTCATATTCTTCCTTAAGCAAATATGACTTATTATTTTAATTTTGGCTTAATGTCAAAAAAGCCCCTAATATTCGACTAAATAGTCCTTTTGACATCTATTCTTTTTAGCATTTTGACCCAGCATTATATTTTGAGTCAAAAATACTCGCGTATAATTGGAAACCATTAGTTAACAAAGGTTAAAGCTCCAAAATAGGAGCATTTTTACCTTAAAATTAAACATTGAGGGTAAAAGTGACTATTCAGTCAAATGTTATAAGTTATTTTATCCTAAAATAAAACGTTGGAGGTCAAAATGTTGCAGAAAAAAGAATAGGAGTTACAATGATCATTTTTATAAACGGAGGTTAATTTTGGTATTATTCCAACTTTTATAAAAATAAATAATTAACTATTAATATTTTATTAATTAAATAAATTTATGTGAATTAAAATATTGACATAACATATACATACGTGAGTAGACAATAAATTAATTTTATACTAAATATCATTATTTAATTAATTTAAAAGTAAAAAAAAAGAAAATTAAAAGATTGAGAATAATAACAAGAAGATAACTTCAAATTCAAGGGTAAATTTTAGAAGAATATACATAGGCTGAATAATGAAATGTTTTAATAATTTAGTATTTTAGAATTAAGAATAATATGAACCATTAAGTGGTTGATTAAAAAGAATGTTTTTTTTAAACTTTGACTTTGAATAGTTGCGTCTATAAAATATATATATATAATCAATTAATTAAGAAAGTTCTGAATAAATAATATATTACAATAACCTTATACTATTAAAAATAAATAATAATATTAATAATAATAAGAGGATAGCTTCAAATTCAAGAGCGAATTTTTAAAAGAATCGCATCAACTGAGTCATGGAATATTGTAATGGTGTTAGTGATTTAGAATAAAGAATAATATTTATAATGGTAAAACGATATCTTTAAACTCAAGGATGAATTTTTAAAAAATTAATGTATTTTTAAACGATTTTTAGAGTAAATGATTAAAAACTTTCGGTTAACAGATTTTCTCTCTTTACATATTCCCCTTCTAATTAACTGAGAAATATTCCCCTTCTAATTAACTGCGACATGAGACAAATCTCACAAGACTCGTATTAACATACATGATACATAGTCTAACTTTAAAAAAATCGCATCAATTAAATAATGGAATATTTTAATGTTGTTAGTAATTTAAAATAAAGAATAATACTAAAAGTATAACTTTAAATTCATAAGTTTCTAGGAATGTAGGATAATTTTACCATTTTATTACCTACGAAAAATTTACATTTTTTTGGGACTAAAATAAAATTTTCCCAAACTAAGGTGGACCAAAGAGAAATTTTATTCATAGCGTAATTTGCTCAAATAAAAAATCAATAAAAATAATGTTAAGAAGTTATCAATCAATGCTAGTTTGATAGATCAATAATTTTTATATGATTATTATCATAGGAAGAAGAGATTTGAGAGGCTGACCCAGGATCTACACGTGACACGACTGTTCTCAACATTGATGGAGGAGATGAAAGCCATGCGACGCGTGGACGATGATTCTAATCACACTGACGTAATGGTCCCGGTGGCCCACAGCCAGCGCAGCCCCGTCCTGCTGCTTATGGGCGGCGGTATGGGTGCCGGCAAAAGCACTGTTCTCAAAGATATACTCAAAGAGTAAGACCAAGTTCAGTTTTAAAAGTTTGAAGGACTGAAGACAAAATTAAACAAATTCATAATTCGTCCCAGAGTATTTGATCTTGTTAATGGGACATTTGCAGACCATTCTGGTTAGGAGCGGCCACAAATGCGGTGGTGGTAGAGGCGGATGCTTTCAAAGAAACCGACGTTATTTACAGAGCTCTGAGCTCTAGGGGTCACCATGATGATATGCTACAAACAGCTGAACTAGTAAAAACAGCTTCCATTCAATTTCCTCTTAAATAACTTACATTTGATGTGTGTGTATAAATATGTGTATAATCAGGTTCATCAATCTTCGACCAATGCGGCATCGTCGCTTCTGGTGACGGCATTGAACGAAGGTCGGGATGTGGTAATGGACGGAACGTTATCGTGGGTGCCTTTTGTGGAGCAGACGATCGCAATGGCTCGAAACGTCCACAAACACCAATACCGAATGGGGGTCGGCTACAAAGTGGCCGATGATGGCACCGTAACCGATAATTATTGGGAGCAGGTTAAGGAAGAGGAAGAGGAAGAGAATGAACAAGAAAATGGTAATGGGAGTCATAGGAAACCATACAGAATAGAGCTGGTTGGGGTGGTTTGTGATGCATATCTAGCTGTTATTAGGGGGATAAGGTAATGGGAAGAAGAATACCTTTTACCATATTGGCTTAAATTATAGGGTTACCTATATATATCAATGTGTTTTGGGGATCTTGCAGGAGAGCAATAATGGTGAAAAGAGCAGTGAGAGTAAATTCTCAGTTGAAATCCCATAAAATGTTTGCAAGTGCATTTCCAGGATATTGTCAACTTGTTGATAATGCCAGGCTCTATTCCACCAATGCTCTGGGAGGCCCATCAAAGGTAACAAAGAAACGTATTTAGTCATTTACCTATTTTCATAGTTCTGTTTTGATTACTCAACTATTTTTCACCCAAAACCATATCTAAAACTACATGTTGATTTTATTTTGATCGTCCGTATTTAAAAAGTTAAAAAGTTAACGGTGATGATGATTCTTACCCCACCTGCGGAAATAGGTGAGTGATTGATTACATAGTTTACCCAAAAAAACTAATGTCTTTAGGTAAAAGATTCAAGAAAGCCAAAAATTATTTGTTTTTTGTTGAGTGATCCAGTTGATAGCATGGAAAGATGGAGAAAGCAATTTACTGATTGACCCGGATGAGATAAAATGCTTGACAAATGTGAGCAAGTTGAACCCAGGAGCTGAATCTATATACGAGCTTTACCAAGATCCAAGTCCATTGGAAGAGCCTGGTTCGGTTTGGAAACAGACAGCATTCAATCCTTCAAGAACACACATTCTTGTTGAGCTCAAAGGTTCCATTCAAAGAATCGAAAATTCCAACAATGGTGAAACACAACAACAATTATAACTTAAACATGATCCTGTTTCAAGCCTCGATTTGTCTGTTGTTTCAGCTGATGTGGAGATTAAGATATTATTCCAATTGGGAGAAAGTCTCTTTGATGAATCTTGTGAGTTTCATTTCTTTTCTGAATATGAAGAATTTCATTTTGAGGAGTAGGCAGACCCCTCAAAATTGAAAATCCACGGTTTAAATCCCTTAACAATTATAAAGCTTTAAGTTTAATATTATGGCAAGATTGTTTTCTGACCTCCAAAAACGAAAAGCAATTCAATTTAATCTCTTGAGAAATTAAAAAAAATTAATTAAATTTCAGCCCCTCAAAAAAATTTAGATTCATCCCTATTAAATGCAAACAAGACCACATAAAACACTATAAATAACATATGTCAATCATGAGTCCCAATCATACCCACAATCCATGTTAATTACCAAACACTATTATTAACTAATACAAATATAACTCAAGTTACGTGATCATACAATCTGTTAAATCATCATTATCAATCTAACTTATCAATTAAACATACTTATTTTAAAATAAATACTAAATTTTGCATTAGTTTATATTAATCATTTATTAAACAATGTAGTCACATTATAAGATATCATTAGCATCATAGATAACTAATTAATAACGTAACATCATCAAAGTGATTAAGAGTGTTATCATTAATGTCTCATTTTTTTATAATATCAAGTAATCTTCAATTGAATTTTCGATTAATATTAATGTATATATATTTATATAAAAATATAAAAATAAGTATATTTAAAGTTTAAAATCACATTTAGAATAATTAAGGATGTATTTATAAGCCTAGGTTAAAGCCTTAATCATTTCATGATTGTTTGGTAGCTTTATAAAATAGTATATATTCATAATATTTCTTAGTTATTAATAACGTATACACACTCCATATACATAATTGTTCAAATATGAATACTTTAGTTTGAACATTGTAGTTCCATATATATATATATATTGATACCTATCGATACTTAACCCAAAAATTAACCTTTTAAGTCAATTTTAATTAGGGTAAAATACATAAATGGTCCCTCGATTGTAAGATATTATTGTTGAGTCTTTTGACTATTAAAAGTTGCAAAATGGTCCCCTGACTATAGGGAATTACATCTTTGAGTCCATCAACTATTAAAAGTTATAAATTGGTCACTCGATTATTCATTATATTTCAAAGTCGTCATTTCCTGTTTAAAAATTGAAAGTTGTCTGAACTGGACGTTAACTTGCTGATTGAGATATGATAGTCGTTTGAGATTATGAGATCATGTTTTATCAGATCACAACCAGAAAGTTAACGTCTAGTTCAATCGACTGTCAAATTTTTAACGAAAAAGGATGAGTTTGGAACATAATGAATAGTCGGGTGACCATTTTGTAACTTTTAATAGTTGAGTGACTCAACAAAGTAACTCCCTATAGTTGGAGGACCATTTTATAACTTTTAATAGTTAGGGGACTTAACAAAATAGTATCTTATAATCATAAGGTCATTTGTATATTTTGTCCTTTTAATTATTATTATTTTGTTTATTCCTTATCCTCTTCAATCTTTTATTTTTTCCTTCAATTCAAGTCAATTCTTGACTCAAATTGAACCCATCACTTTTCAAACACTAAAATACTTCTTTGACTCAAAAATTTCTTTCACACAACTTTACTTTCTTTTCAATTTATTCCCTCAACTTTATATCTTATTCAATTTATTCCTCTCAATCCAAAGCTTCTTTTCTTCCAATTAAAACATTGACCACATTAGACTCCCATCGTACTCTTCCATTTACAACTTTTAGATTTTTTTTTGTATATTTTTAATAAATAAAGATATTTTTTCACATCAAAATAATTTTAGAAAATAAAAAAATAACAATCAAAAGTTTTTTTTTGAAAATAAAAAAGAAAATTGAAAATAAGAGTTTTTTGACCGAGTGAATTGATCATGGTTTAAATCCATAACAAACAAAAATATATTTAATGAATTCTAAATATTAAATTCATATATTTATAAAAGATCGGTATTAAAGTGCTTTAAAATTTATTAAAATTATTTTTTAAAATACAAAGAAATTTACTCTCCGACATCAAACGGAACCTAACGTTCCGTAAATTTATACTTTTTAATTATGTTTAAATAAATTTAGAAATATAATTTCATAATATTAACTTTGTTCATTAATAAAATCTATTATAATTCGAGTATTTGTATGTGTAAAAATTTTTTATTGGGAGACTTCATCACAAAAATCGATTGTGAGATACAAATCAATCTAAATTAGTTAAAAGATAAAATTTGGTAAAAAAACTTTTATAATTCGGAGATAGTGCATGAGATATATTACCCTAATGTTTTGTAATGAAATAACTTTATTAATTATGTTTTTCATTTTTATTATAACATTATTAAGTAATTTTATTGCAATTATCTAATGTTTTTTAAAAAAAAACTAAATTGTCTTTATTCAAGAAGTAATTTCAACAACGGAGATGACATACTCGAATTACATATAAAAAATATTAAATTGTTTAAAATTTATAATTTTCCAATAAATTATTAAATAAACATGAATACATTTAAATATTTTTCTCTCCAATCCAAGTTTTAAGAGAAATACAATCAAGCTCAAACCTAATTTGACAAGTCTGGGATTTCAAATCTAGATCGAAGCTGGCACTTCTTAGCATTGAGCTCAGCAGACCATTCCCAATTTCCCTCAAAACTGAAAATTCTATATCAAATCAGTGATTGAATCAAATCGAATCGGTCCTCATCTTCTCTCATTCCACAGATTCAAAGGTACACACTTCCTACTTCTTAGTTTCTAATTCAGATCTAATGCTTGCATTTTTTTTTGAATTTTCATTGGAAAATTGATTTCCTGACCAACTTAAACGACATCTGTTAAGATAATTGTCGTTTGCTTTATTGTTTATCATTTATTCTTGCACGATTTACAAAAGCATTAAACGAAAATTTGGATTCTGGAGAAGTTCCTCATCTTAGATTCATTTGATCAAAGAGCGAACAATTGAGAACAATACTTGAGTGTTGACTTTGTCTTCTATCGTACATTTAGTTTCCAATAGCTGTTAAAGAATGATTGATGCTAACTAGCTTCCTGATCCGCTTGCTCTATGGTTAATAGCTTCAAAATTAGTTTTTCATTTGTAATCTTTAGGTTGTTGTAGCTGATGTTTGTGGTGCTGTTGTTATATAGTGTGCGATAATGTCTGGGGAGGGGGTTGAGGGGGTTATTCAAGTGCCTGAAACTCGGGAAGATGATTCTTTGAAGCCTGAGACACAGTTGTCTGAAACGAATGGAGATCATTCCAAGGAAAATGCTTTGATAAATGCCAACTTGAGTTCGGATGATGCTCATGATAAGCTTTTACAGACAGTTACCGAACTCAAATTTGAGAATGAATTCCTAAAGTCTCAGCTGGAGAACTTCAAAAATTCCCAATCAGAACATTATGTTCCATCCGGACAAACTAATGTAAGTGAAACGGAAACCGAGTATCCGACTAACGTAAAAGAACTGCATGAGAAAATAGAATCTTTGGTCAGAGAACTTAATGTAGAAAAAAAAACACGAGCTGCAGCAGAAGACGCTTTAAAGCATCTTCGAGAGGTCTACTCAGAAGCAGATGCCAAAGCTCAAGAACTCTATGGCAAGCTTGCTGAAGGTCAGAGGAGTTCATTATTAAAAATTGCATCTTATTTATATTCTGTGAAGTTGGCTTAATGTAACCTTGTAAACCGTTCTCTAAGAACATCTCAGAAACAAGAGAAGGATCAATCTGTTTTTAGTGTAATACGCGTTCTTATTTCTGCGTAGTCTGTTCTGACCCTTGAGTATATACCATTGATCATATGATCATATTGTAGCTCAACAAAAGTTGGATCAAGAAATAAAAGAGCGTGAGGAGAAGTACAATGAGCTTGACTCCAAATTTAACCGGCTTCACAAACGTGCGAAACAGCGCATTCAAGAGGTTCAGAAGGTGAATTTTGTCCTTTGGTTATTTTATTTAACTGCAGCACTTTCCTAATTTTGTTAAAAATTTATATCAAGAGAAATTATGGATTCTATCAAAAAAAAAAAAAAGAGAAATTATGGAAGGAAGCTTGGTTTGCATGGAACTAAGTTAGATTTTTGTTTGGAGATTGTTATTTTCAGGAAAAAGATGACATTGAGGTCAGGCTTCATGAAGCTAATGAATCAATTGAGAAAGCATCATCCCAACAGTCAGGTCTGCAGCAAGAGCTCGAGCGCACACGTCAACAAGCAAATGAAGCATTGAAAGCGATGGATGCAGAGAGACAGCAATTACGAAGTGCAAACAATAAGTATAATCATTTTTGAACTATATAATTCTAAAAACGAATTTGAACCTAAAAAAATGCACTTATCCTTTATCAGGAATCTCATTGTTTTAGCACCGACTGATTGTGCCTATAGAGTTTAATTCCTTATTTATCACTTTTTAAAATTCTGATGCCGTTTATATCTAGACTCCGAGACAATATTGAGGAATTATGCCGTTCAATGCAACCTAAAGAAGATGCAATTGAAGCATTGCAACAAACAGTTTTAGAGAAAGAACAGGTACTATAGCTTTATGTGCGTATAATTTATTGTGTTTGGTTTCGGACAATAGTTTTCGTGTTCCAATATCAAAAGATTTTCATGTATGTTTGTTTGCTTTTTTGGAGACTATTAAACAATACCTTCTTACAACTTAGAACTTCTTGTATCATCAATTTGATCAAGTGCTTATACTTGGTAACTTTTTGTGTGAACCTCTGAAATTGAAACAGAGTTAACAATGACATCGATTCCCATGGATGGATTTATGTTGTGTTGCTTTGTCTTCCTAGTTCACTTTACTGCTGAAATTCTTGATGGAGGCCATCTTATACATGCTTACGTTTTAGATGTTAGAAGACTTGCAAGGACTACTACAACTTGCGGATGAAAAAAGGCAAGCTTCAGTGGCAGAGGCAGCTGCTAAACATCAGAAAGTAAGTTGGATATTCAGATGGATAATGTGTCAATGATGGTTAAGATGCAAAGAGCTTTCTCTTCTTTCTGGCATACCTTGCCAGAATGGTGCTTTGGTCTCTCTTATGCTTCTCTCTTTTTCATCAGAATATTGAGAGCTTGGAAGCACAACTAGCTGATGCTTTATCTGATAGAACTAAGGCCACTGAAACGATTTCTTCCCTGCAGGTAAGAGTTATTTTCACAGGATTTTATTCTACTTGGAGATTGAATACATTCCTCCTAAAGTATTATTTTTTTTTTGTAATGAGTAAAAGGAAAAAAAAAGGGGGGTGTTCTTTGACTTTTTCATTGTGTGTGTCATATCTGTGTTCTCTATAATAGGTTGAGCGAGTATTATGGATACATAATTTGCAGGTGCTTTTGGCAGAGAAAGAGTCTAAAATTGCTGAGATTGATGCAGCTTCGACTGGTGAAGCTGCACGATTAAGAGCTGTTGTGGAATCTATTAGAGGAGAGCTTTCACATGTGAAACTTGAGCATGTATGAATCAAACTCTTCAAATAAGTAGATGCCATTAATGAAAACAATATGATTATTATTATTATTCACAAATGTAGTGGGTTAACATTTCTTTTCCTTATCATCGACAAACCGTGTGATATTTCAGCAAAAGGAAAAGGAGAAGTGGGAAGCTGCTTCTCAGGCATTCAAAGCAAAACTTGAAGCTGCTGAGAGTAACTGCATTCGTGCTGAAATAGAAGCTGCTAAAATGAGAAGTATAAACATTTCACAGAGAGCCTTTGTAATTTTAAATTCGTCACTTATGTACAAGAAAATGAAAATCTATTTTACTTGGTGGATAGGTCAGCTGGAATCAGAGGCATCTCTGCAGACCCAGATGCTAAGTACTAAAGAAGCCGAGCTAGCAGCTGCTAAAGAAGAGGTTTAACTTTCTCTGCAGCTCAAATTTTTCCTGTTAGTTTTTCTCCTGCAATTTATATTTTGGTTCTGCATGACCTCCGCTAGATGTTTTGTTGTTTAAGGATGTGATATCTGAATTATGCTCACAAAAGACACATAAATATGTAGCAGAATCTTATATGTTCTGGTTCTTGTATTGCAGATTAGCCGTCTTGAAAGGGAATTTTCCTCTTATAAAATTCGTGCGCACACACTTCTCCAGAAAAAGGATGCAGAACTAGCAGCAGCTAAAGAGTCTGAACAAACAAAAGCACTTGAAGAAGCATTAAAAGTATTATATTGTAATACAGAATAGTTATAACTTTGTTATCTACATTTCATCTTTCGATAAAAGATAAGAAAGTCATTTGTTTGATTGCTGCAGGAGGTAGAAAGAGAATTGTCATTGGTATCGGCAGAAAGGGATAGGGTCCGTCAAGATGTTCAGGATGTTTTAGGCAATCATGAAAAAGAACTTGCAGAAAGGTAGCATCATAAGTTAAAAGCCATGATGAGATAGCTAAATGTACTGAACTTATGATCTCAAGGAAACTAGTCAGAAAAGGAAAAGGGATGCCAAAAATATATTTTGGATTTTAGGCTTTTGCTAAGTCGGAACATTATGTTCGCCTTTTTTTGTTTGAATTCTGTACTGAAATTATTCACCCTGCTTTATACTAGAGATGCAGCACTTGACAATGCCAAACAGCAGATCAAAAGTTTAGAGAGCAATCTTCATTCTGCTACTGCTTGCCACCAATCAGAGAAAGCTGTATGGGAAATGGACCTTAAAAATTTGGAAGAAACTTGGCGATGTATTGTTTCAATGCATGCAATATTTATTTTTTCTTTTCTTTTTTTTTCCTTTATCAAGTATGCTTCTGTCTTGAACTTTGAATAAAGTGACATTTATGATTGCTGATTTTGCAGACAGATGCGAAGCACTTACTGCTCAAAATGAAGCGTCATCTGGTGAAGATATACAAAAAAAATTAGAGGAGACAAAATTACAGTACAAGCGGTTGAAGGTACCTAGAATTTTTTATCCTATTTTGATGATAGAGAACTTTTATTTCTGTTTTTATTGATTGGATTCTTTACTTGCAGGAGGAGCACGCATCATTACGAAATCTTGCTGATAGAATGATTGAGGAGAAGGATAATGAAATTTCTAGACTTTTGGATGACAACAAGAATCTTCAACGATCTCTGGACTCGAGACAACTGGTATGTTTCCCTTTTCTCTTTTATAGCTGTAGACCATACCTGAAACCTCAGCACCCTTGAGAGGTGTTTGATTTCGTTAAATTTTGGGCTTACAATGAATTAAAATTTTCAGGCTGATCACACTGAGAATTACAACACAGGTATGATGAGTGTTTATGTGGTACTACTTCTAGTTGGAAACTTGATTTTATTTTGTATTTTAACCTTTTTGTTTATGGAGCTCTGATGTTTACTGTTAGTCTTTTCAGCCATACAAAAACAAGATGCTCCGAGTCTAAACACCTCTACAGCAGAACAGCAGATTCTGGTAGCTTTATACTTCCTTTTTATGAAATTTTCTTTTTGATAAATATGTTTCTATGGTTTTTTCCTTTCAAAACCATATATCAGTGAAATAATTTTACATTAACTTTCCCATCAAATTTAGATATTAGCAAGGCAGCAGGCTCAGAGGGAGGAAGAGCTGGCACAATCACAGCGACACATTTTCGCCCTTCAGGTTAGTAATTTCCATTTCATTTTAATTAATTTCCCGAGTTTGGTTTGTTGATGCATGCACAATGCAGGAAGAGATTGAGGAGCTTGAACGTGAAAATCGCCTTCACAATCAACAGGTATGAAGAAGTTTAGACATGCCATGCTGTTTCATTACGTGTTCTATTTGTACCTTTCCTCAGTGTTGTCTTTTCGTGTGGGAAATTGTATGTTATTTGATTAAGGCAAGAGTCCTACAACGTAGTAAAATGAAATGGATTTCTTGTGTTGCATCGAACTTTTTATTTTCTCCACTTTGCAATTATTATATTTTGTCAACCTATAAAATTACATGCTCTCCTTCACAAACATAGGAAGCTATGCTGAAAGAGGAACTTCGCAACATGGAAAGATCGAAAATGAGAGAAGGTGTCGATATGACGTACCTGAAAAATGTAATCCTAAAGCTTCTTGAAACAGGTACTTTCAATGGCATAACTTTTGTAAAAATGTCCAAGTGTCAATGTCAATGGACCTAATATTTTTTTTTGGAACCTTGCTAATTCTTTGAATAGGTGAAGTGGAAGCTTTACTACCCGTTGTAGCAATGCTTCTTCAATTTAGTCCTGAAGAGGTAATTTTTCTATTTCACTGCTCGATGCTTAATTTTGTGGGTTCCTGAGCAAATGTATACATGGGAATTATGAACGCACTAATGAGAAGAATCTCTTGTTATATGGCACCACAGATGCAGAAGTGTCAACAAGCCTACCGCAGCTATACCGATGTGCCAAGCCAGGCAAATGAAACATCCCCGACCCTTTCACTTTTTTCAAGATTCTCATTTTCTTAAAGGTAACATAAAATTCATCTGCCGGATGATCTGTCCGTTTCTGTTTCTTGCTTTACCCACAGTTGGTGGCTGCTAGAAAGAAATCACGGCCGTGGCCACAGCAAAGCATTCTTTTTTCCTTTTGGTTTTGTAACATTTAAGTTACGTATATGATTCAGTTGTAAAAGAAGACCCGGGAGGACGAATGATATGATACATACAGCAAAATGTAAAACGTTGAGGCAACTGTTTTTGGCCCACATTCGTTTGTCCATTCTCCAACGTGATTCATTTTCATTACTGATCTTCGCAAATCAATGCAGAGTCGAGTAAGCCTGAGATCTAATGCAATGCCCCAAATGAATGAAGAACGTGAGTTTTTCATTTTTATGGGTAGATAACGAATTTGGTTTCTTAACTTTATTGTATTTCTGTTTTGGTCTATATTCCTTCTCTATCTTTTTCCTCATGTTTTTCTTCTTCTTAGCTTGAAATTGAAATACTCAAACAAAAGCTTTGACATTATCTTGGTCTGATCTATAATCTTTCCTGTCCAAGCATCATGGAATAGGGATACATTATCTTTCTTCTCTTTCTCGACTTCTCCATCTATAGGTTTGGACAAAAATACTCTATAACGCCGGTGAACCAATGGGAAAATCTGGATTTGGAAGGAAAATTTAGGAACTACACCATTAGTCATTAGTATATCACTTATTTGACACATGCCACGCCGCATGTTCCTTCTTTTATATTTTTTATAGTTTGTAGCCTATTATTATCATTTTTTTATTTTGGTCTTAGATGATGTCAACGTTGAAAAGTAACTTGCTTTTTCAAAGCGTTTTCCACGTGATGTTCCATTTATATAAATAAATATAAAATGAGTATTATTCTCAGAAAATACTCTTTATTTAGGATCAAATAAAAATTTCAAAGACGAAATTGAACAAAAAAATTTGAGAGACTTGACATGCTAATTACTCTTTTTCATTAAAATCACTTACATTTCTTTAGTTAAAAGTATCACGTGACGTGATTTTATTGGTCAATTTAAAAAAAACTTTATTAAAAATGAGATGAATAGGTAGCAAAATTAAGCATTAGGGGACAAAAGAGGCCAAAAATTATATATAGTTTAGGAGACAAATGATTCATTAAGTCAAATTTAAATTATTATTTTATTTCACGTTAAATCAGTCTGACATGTGAGTTGAAAATATAATCATATGTTTGTTCTCGATTGTGTTAAATTGGACGAATTATTTAATATATGAACAAATCTACTCATTATCACATCATCAAAATTCAAAACTCTTAATTCAATATGATAATGGGCAGTTTTACTGTATCGAAGCTTAATATAAGAATAAAAAAATACATTATCGAAAATATTAATATTTTTTAATATTTTCGGTAGAATTTTACCAAAAATATTATTTTTTTCAACTTGAAATGTTAATTTCACTATCTAAAATGAATATTTCCGATATTAACATTTACGGTAGAAAAAAATAAAATTTTAGGTAGCGCTCTATAGAAAATATTAAAAAAAAATTAATATTTCCGGTAGCGTATTTTCTTAATCTTATATTAGGTTGTCTTTCCTTAGACATCCCCATATGATAATAGTTTTTAGAAAGTAAAATAAGTTTATTTCATCATATTAATAAAAAAAATCCATCTTAAATAAAGTATTTTATTTCAAATAAATAAAAACTCTTCATTTTAAGCAAAGTATTTAGAATTTCAGACTATTTGTCTTATTATGTTGCAAATTCTAATAATTTGTTCTCGCTCCATGCAATTACAATATTGACAAACAACAAGACCCTAAATAGGAAAAATGAAATTAAAAGTATGATATTTCAAAATTTTATTTTCCTTTGAAAATTTTCAAATTAAATATTAAAAAAAATATGTAAAACAGAAATGCTATACATTAGGTAGTATACATTTTCGCCGAACCATTCGGCCCATGTCATTTCCTTACAATATAATTATATTACTATACATTTACTTAACCTTAAGGTTTCCCATAATCCTTTTTAGAAAATAAATATATCCGTAGCGCCAAAATCTCAGCCACAACCGCGACCGCAATGTAGTATTATACGTTAGACTGAAGATTCATCTCTTTGTGATGAGAGGTATTGAGGTTGAGCCATGGATGTTGCAGACACTGCTGTGCCGTTGGTCGCTTCTCTGGTGCAAAATCCAGGAGAGGATAAAGAAAGCCAGCAAACTCACGAGCATCGTTCTCTGAGAATTTGTATTTATCCACCAAAAATCTGTCGAGTGGCCTGAGCTTCAGCCTTCGAATCCTCTTCAGATCCCCATGCCGATCGAAATATTCCTTCGATAGTGCTCCTCCGATGGCGATCTGCTTGCAGAGAAGCATGAAATGAAATGCGTGTATCATAATAGTTTTGTAAACAGGAGATGATATTGATAATACAGAAATAATTTCACCTTTTTAGGCATCTTTCCGAGAAGTTCCATCATGAGAGCAAGGTGATGCTGTAACATATATACTAATGGACATTAGTATTGTCGATATCCCGACCGTGTCGAAAAACGTTATAAAAGATGGGTGGAACACTTATACCTCATCTTCACTATATCCTTTGCCGCTTTGAGGGGCGAACATCATGTCGCCGGTGGCGAGCTCAAAGGCTGTGCAAGCAAAAGATCACATATCAGCAGGAAAGGAATAGCCAGAACCTAGTATCACCTCAGGAGCTCTGTACTTTCTTGTCTGAATTTCATCAGAAAATGGTTTATCAGCCCAACATGCATTGCCGAAGTCCACAACCTTGCACCTCAAATCGATTCCATCCATACTTTTTTCCGGTTTCGTTGCTTCTGCTTCTCTTCCCATGGAACCTCTTCCAACAGATATATTAGCAACAGCACTTCTTGCCCTCCTTTTCAGTTTTTTCTGGACGATGATGGTCATGGTGGATCCACCATTTGGAGTACCCCCTTTTGGCCTTTTGAGTATCGGCATAAGACCGGACCTGATCGGATCCTTGGCAGGATTAATGGTGGAAAAGAGGAGGATGTTTTCGGGTTTTAGATCGGTGTGGATGATGCCAAGTTCCCTATGCAAGTAATCCAGAGCTATCAAAATAAATTTGCATATTTCCCTAACTTTGTTCAATTCAAGGCCTTTGTAACGACGGAACCTGACCAAACGGAGTAAGCTATCGCCGAGGAATTCGAGGACGATGCATAGATGTTGGCCATTGGGGCCACTGTGCTTAAAGTGATCAGTCAAGCGCACCACACACTTAGAATTTGAAGGGTCTCCGTTAGTGATAGATAAAAGCACTTCAATCTCATGAAGGGCAGCTTGAGCAAATTGTTCTGCACTTTTCTGAATCTTTAGAACAACATATTTCTGATTGAAATGAAAAAGGATTTAGATAACATTGTTTTGCATACGTACATATATAAGGTGAAAAGAGGGAAGAATGAGTATCGTAAGCGAGCCACACGGTGGAGAACTGACCCCATCCCAGCTTCATTTGAGCGATGTAACGACCTGCAGCGAAAGGATCTCCGATCCATACCGCATAGTATCCTCCTTTCCTGTAGGATTCCAATCCCTCGTTGTCTTCCTCCGAACCGGATGATGATGAACACGACATTTCCAATCACCCTCCCCCCCCTTCTTTCGCTGTTTATGATGTTATTATCCGATTTCAGATATATGTTGTCATGAATCTTGGGGAAGCCCTTGTTACATTACAAGGGTGAGTCTGTTTTGGTATGTTAAATGTTAAATGTTCAATTTGTGTGGTTCCCCACATTTTTGTGCTTTGGGTTCTCAATTTTAAAATAAACCTATATAATATAGTGTCCTATATTATAATCATATTCCAATATCATATTACAAAGATATATATAGATATATATATATATATCCCTAATCAATCATCCTTGCCCTCGTGGTATTTATCAAAGGGCTTAAGTAAACCGTAAGTAATCGCCATAGCAAACCACCCTCCGAACACAACTCTGGCTGCTGATACCCTAACCGGGGAGCCCCCGAGATAAGCACCGAAACAACCGAACACAAGGAGAGCTATCGATGAAGCCACCGCAGTCGCTACAATCCGGATAACATGTTGTTCGATAAATGCAGCCGATGATAGAGGAATGACTGACCCGCATAGAAATGCCAAAGCCGATGCAGAAGCGGCCTTATACGGGTTAGGCAGTGCATCTTGCACCAATGTTACCACTGCTTTGGTTACCATAGGAGACTTGCCGGGAGAAAGGCCTTGGGGCAAATTCGGATCTAGAATTATAACAGGAGACATTTTTTCGATCTTTTCAACATCATCTAGACGCACGGTTATGTCGGTTTTCGAAGCCTTTTCAATATCTCTTTGGGTAGAAACGGAAACGAACTCGCCAACAGCCATGCTACATGCACCCGCAAGTGCTCCAGCTAGTCCAGAGAGGATCATGGACCGTCTATCATCATTAGCTGCACCTATACCAAGCATTAGCGATGCGGTTGAAAGCAACCCATCGTTAGCTCCAAGAATGGCTGCTCGAATCCATTGAGCTCGTTGCACAAGGTCGGTCCGCTGATCGGTTTCATCGGCTACCGTAACACTTGTTTGAGGGGAAGCCATGGGAACAGTTTGAGATAATACCTATAGGAATTGCCAATGGAGTGTGGCTACCAATGCTGAGGCACACTCAGAGCACGTGGATTATATATATATATATATATATATATATACAATTAGAGAGTGAGAAATGTGTGGAATGGGTTTCCTACAAAATAGGGTTTCATAGGAAAAAGAAATTCCTTGGTGCTGTCGTGAAAGATTACAAAAGAGGGGACAAGTGTGGGACGTTGGGGCCTATAAGATTCTCTTGTCCGAAGCCGTATCTGTTTGCATCTTCGTTCTTATCAAACCCATAAGATGCTTTCTGCCTAACTTCATCGCCATTTTTGACTCTCATAACCAACAGATTTCCCTCTGCCGTTTTTGCCTATCCCTATCCTGTCTCAACTGAATTTTACTGGTTCACGTGTAAACTAATTTTTATCGTTTCATTTTGTATTCAAGTTAATGTTCTATCTGGTTCATACAACTTTTATTTTTTGTTTTATTAGTATGAAACTATAGTAAGATAATATATATTTATAATTTTTTTAATCAATTGATAATGTATATATACACTACAAACATAGCTGCTTAAACCCAGTTTCTCTAAGAAGAATATCATTCTCTTTTATCACTGAAATCACTTATAAATTCTCATAAAACTTTTATTTTTTAAAGTTTCGATTGTGTGTAATATTTTATATTTGGTCAGCTATTATAATTTGAGTATATTAAGGAGACTAATTGAAACCAACTAAATATACACTTCAATTCTTAACAAAAAAGAAGAGAGAATTTTATCTTTTTACCATTAAGACCACTCAACAAGTTCATCGAATTCATCTTATAGATACTATAAGGAGTAAGGAGGCTCTTTTTTGTTTGATTGCTACGATAATACCAATGTGAAAGAGATAAGTTTGCCCAACATTCGATGGTGGTTGACCTGAATAAGTAGTTAATCCCATGCTTTGGAATTGATTGGTTTTTTACTAAAACTCGAATAGGAGGGTCTGCAACAAATTTGTCATAAATGTAGTATTCATGGCCATTCGAAGGAACTATGTGGTGTGACCGTAAGTGCTGACAAAGAGAAAATGAGGGTAACGGCACCACCAATAACACCTAGAAGGCAACGAATATAGCTGAAAAGGAAGGTGACGAGTCTTTGGAACAATTGATGGTGGCCACTAATCGTAGAAGGCGATCAAGAAAGGAAACAAGTGCAGTTAAGGGAAGTGGCGAATTCGATGGAGTTGAGAGTGATTCTCATTTTACTTGGACTGGAGGGAATTTGTATGAGCGTCTGGATAGATGTATGGTTAATGAGAAATGGAGTACCCAATTTCCTAACTCCAGTGTTACACTTGGATCGGTTCGGCTCGTCTCATCATTGGATATTAGTGCAATCTAAGATGCGATTATTGAATACTTCTGAAAGGTCATTTAGGTTCCTAGAATCACGGTTAAAGCAAAGCACCCAAACTTCAAGACGTAATTTTGAACATTACAAAATTCAAGAAGGAGGTCCAGATTGAAATAGTGATATCTTCGCCCACATTGGTTAAAGGAAAAAGTTACTTGTAAGAACAATTCAAGGCCAAACAAATGTAAGAATAATAATTCAGCATTCAGTTCCTTTGTGTTATCCAGGGGAGCACTTAAAGCTTAAATCAATCATGAAAATTCGTTTGAAAAGACAATCCTTTCTACAGATGACTCAAAATACAAACTCGATCAACCCGGAAACTAATGCAACGAATAGGAATGCAGAGTGTGGGAAACACACAAAACCAAGCTCACCGGAAACTGACAAAAGTTATAAAGCATAAATATAAGACCGAATCAACAATCCGTTGTAGTCTGGTTGGTTAGGATACTCGGCTCTCACCCGAGAGACCCGTTTAAGTCCCGGCAAAGGAAATTTTACTTTTTTTGTGGTTGTTGGAGCATCTTTTTTCTCCTCCTTGGTGGTACCCTACTGGATCATAGCTGCTAAAACAATGCAGAACAAGAGTTTTTATACTCCATTTTGCTAAACAATAACATGCAAGGGTTAATTTCTGACTTGGAAACAACACATTATCAAAGCTGAGAAAACAAGGGTCATGGATTGCTTAAGGCTTCACTGTATCAGTTGATAACTTGAAATTTTGTCTTGTTCCGTTCACACAGACTTTTCAGGTGAAAAACTAAATATCCAAATCAACAGGACTTCAATGGATTGTTGTTTTACAATTTTAGATTATGAAAACGTTATTGCTATTGATAGTAGAAGATTTATTCTTATTAAAGGTAAGAAAATCAGTTGATGATAATACTGAGATGACAGCCAAAGGTAGTTGTTAAAGAGGTCCAAGGTGAAGAAAGGAGCTTCTGAAGAAACACAAGAGAGCAAATGTGAACTATGGGGTGTTTGGAGTTGAGACTCCCGCATGCTTTCTAACGCTTAAGTTAGTATAAATGCCTCTTCAATATATATTTATCTTTTTTTTTCCATATATGCATGCTAACTACATTTTTCTTGGGAAACAGGTTGATCTGCTATCAACTTTAAGCGAGCCACTGTAACGTATCCGTGTTTGATATTCGAGTCTAATACACTAATAAATAAGCTAAGCTTATATCTATTTAGTTATCTATTGGCAATTTATTTCCTTTCTCAACAATGGTAATCCTTGCAAGTTCTGTTTTTCATACCAACTATGTTTTTCCTCCCTATATCAGAGCTTATAGCTAGTTAGTTACCTATGGTTTTTATTAGCTATGTATGGCAACCAAAAGACAATGTTTGGCGTGTAAGTGCTACGTTAGATGAATCAGCACCAGCAATCATTGATAAAAGTAAAGTTAAATGGTTACCCCGATATTAACTCGGCAGTGATTCCTCCACTGATGATACTCATGTCAGACTTCCCGGTTCTTTCGCAAACTCACCTCCCTCAGGAAGCAAATCCAAAGGGATCCTCGTAGCTCTTTTAAGCGTAGTAGGCTGTTTTCTTATTTTAGTAGGTGTGTTAATACGTGAGAGGAAGAAGATCTTTAAGCACAACAGTTTATCTTTGGAGAGGGTCAGTTTGATTCCGGTGCATGAAGGATCTTACGAAAAGTGAGAGTTTCAGGCCAAAGATGATGCAAGATACGCAAGCCAATCATGTATGAAGCTGATGTGATTATGAGGGAAACTATGAAACTTAATGAACGTAGCAGAATCAGAGGATGGTGTAGAAGGAAAACATTGATGGGAAACTGTTAGCCATAAGGAAAACAAAGGAAGATATCACAAAGGAACCTTTGATGGTATGGACATTTTCCAACAGTGGTGAACAAGTCTTCTTCAAGCTGGAAACATGCCCATGAAAATTCGTTAGGCAACAAAATATTAGTCTCCATACCATTGGTACTCTAAAACCCACTGAAGCAACACGCTACAAAAGTAGAAACTTGTTCACTAAGGCATGTATACAAATAAGAACTTAAGGCTTAACTTGCACAACCAAAGAATTGCTTTAACAGTTTCCACAGATTCACGTGCCTTGTCACCATGGCAGCATTTAAAGCTGAATCAAACGTAAAAATTCGTGTGAAAAGACAAATCTTTCGCTGGAAACTGATGCAAAGGATAGGAAAGCAGTGTCCGTGAAACACACAAAACCAAGCAAGCCGGAAGCTGTTATCAAATCAAATAAAATGTATTAACACACGAACAAGCCAATAATCCGTTGTAGTCTAGTTGGTTAGGATACTCGGCTCTCACCCGAGAGACCCGGGTTCAAGTCCCGGCAACGGAATAATTTCAAGTTAATCATATTTTTTGATAGATTTTTGTGGTTTCTGGGGCTTTCATTTTATTTTGTTCTTCTCATTAGGCGTCAAAGCATTGATGGGAAAGGACCCTGATTAGCATCCTAATGGATCAACTAGCTGCTAAGATAATGCACAACAACAGTTTTATACTCCATTTTACTAAACAATAACATGCAGAGCCAGAGAATGGATTGCTGAGAACAAAAGGGTTATGGATTGCTTGCTGCCTTTGGATGCCACCTTACCCCCAGTGTGTTGGAATGTTGTTTAAATTAGAGAGAAACTCACTGCACTGGAGATGGAATCAGTTGAAATTTGTCTTTCTATTATCCAAGCCATTATTTGGTTTATTCGCCTTCTCAACAATACAACTTTGCTTCCATATAATCTAGAAATCACACACCTGTCTTAGCTAAAACAGTAAAACTTGATGTACCTAAAAGCGCCCTTGAAAGGGCTGAAACGAAAATCTCCATTACAGACATCCGAATTCTGGTCTTTCAGGCTAAAAGCCTAATATCCTAATCAATTAGACTATAACCGATTGTTGTTGTTTTTTCCTGTTTCAGATCATGAAAATATTCTTGCTATTAATGGTAGAGGATCATTCATATTGGAGACAAACAAAACAGTTGGGAACGTTTCGCTATTAGATCATGATCCTCTACCAAATCAATACATACATACCGTATAACTATCTTGTCTCCCAATAGTGTATATGAACGATACTTGGCATCAACTGTATGTGCATATTTACTGGCTTCGAATGCGGAGGAACAACCTATCAGACGAGGAAGGGTTCATCAAGACTGAAAAAAAAAGTGTTACTGTTGCAATATATCCATTCTTCATAACCTGTTAACGAGTAGAGTGATTTTAAGATAAAATGAACAATAGGAACAAAGATATATCTAAATGCCTTCTAAACGGTTTGGAACTATCCTTGTCTTTAATTTTTGGGTGTTGGGGGTAGAATTTATGTTCAATACCAGGCCATCAAATAAGGATCCGAAGTAGAATGAATAAGCATTTGGTCAACATGATATAAGAATCAATTGTTGGCATGAAGGAGGGGAAATATGAAAACAATTAAGGCATAAAAGCCGTGGTATACAAAACCTTTTCACCCAACAACTTACTGTTAGGTGTAATGCTCAATGAAACAAACACCCTTGGGTGAAAGCTGTTGTGCATAACGGCACCATAGTCCATTTCAAAGTGTTCTTGCATCATTGGTACCGGTTTTGATGGATTCCACGAGGAAGCCCTACCCCACATGAGAGTGTTCATCAAGATTGGAGAAGTGTTGGAGTTGAGAAATAACCATTCCTCTTGATTGACAATCCTCTCTATCATACCAGAACTATATATTAGCAAAATAACTAAATATTGAATACTAAAAACCACATGAAGCAAGAAATCTGATGCAAACTTTCACCTCAAATGCAATATTCTGATATCCTTACACAAAAGTAGAGCCAAAAGGATTGCTCATAAAGCCATGTTTTTTAATAGCTGCTCAGCCACAATCCCCAAGAATTTACACTGAAAAAAAGTATAAATTTTTAATTCAAGTGTTAAACAGAAATACGTTGTAGTCTAGTTGGATAGGATACTCGGCTCTCACCCTTGACCGGGTTCAAGCCACAGCAACTGATTTTTTTTCTTCTTAATCATAATCTGGGCAGATTTTGTACCTAAGCTATTATTTTTGTTCAGTTTGGATACCCAAATTTTTTTTCTCTTCAAAATCATACATAACGTTTAGTTTAGGTTTCATTTTGATATCTCAATGTTAAAAACTTAACGGTGATGTTGATATGTCACCATAGGATAATGCACATCAACAGTTCTATTAAATTTTTGAAGACACCCAACCAAATTGAAACTTAAACTAAACATTAAGTATGATTTTGAAAGAAGAAAAAAGTTTGAGTATCAAACCGAAAAAAAAGTAATAGTTTAAGTACTTGAAAAATGTAATTTACCCCTTTTTTCATTTCTTCAGTAAGCGTCAAAGCCTTGATGGGAAAATGAGCATAATGGATAAAAAAAAAAGATAACATCAATGATGACACGTTACTTGTTAGATAATTATGCAGTACATGACTTACTATAACCACTTCCACCCAAATCAAACATGACATTCAAAATATCAAACACTTTCTAACAATAAACTCAATGGCAAATTTTAAGTTGGAATGAATCTCTCTACTCGTGTATACGCTTTATCATCTAACAACCGTTCATTGCGTGCAAATTCAATTGATTCATGCTTTAATAAATTCAACTTCTGTAGTTTACATCTTTCTCCTTCATATATTGTGCTTAAGCATTTATCATCTTCACATTGAATGACACTTTTTTAATAGTCAACATTTTCCAGCCTTTATCATTTAGAAATAAAAACCCAATATTCTTCAATAGATTTACCCTTGATAAGATTTTGGGCTCTATAGATGTCATTGCCACTAAAATGACCAAAAGCAAAATATTTTAATCTTTAAACATAATTACTCCGAATAGCTTCAAACCAGGGGGGAAAATAAAACAGAATACTAAAAGCAACAGCATATTCCAGAATCCACTACAGTAAATATCTGGAAACAAAAACTCAGGTGAAGGCAAGTCCTTATCAGAGGCTTTTCGGGTGTTCCTAGTTGTGGGATAATGGCCTTAAGATTTACTATTCTTCCTCATCATCGTCACCATCTCCCCCGGCAGCCTTCTTTGCAGCTGCTCTCTGGTTCTTTCTCTTCACTCTTCCAGGGCGGCCGCCTCCAAATGGACTTGTGAGAGAGAAGTCGATGTGTTTTTGAGAGTCAACCCTCACCAAGAAAGATGGGATGTTGACAACTTGCCTACCAACTCTATCAAGGAAAGAACAGACATCAAGATACACACAGCATTGATGTATAGATATAATATATCATTTTCACATATTTTTAAGACATTCATTTATCATATTTTTTATGCTTTAGTTGTTTCTTAGTGGCATGTAGGTACAACATTTAAAGCATTCATAAATCATCATTCGGACGACAGAAGCGAATATCCACAAATATATTCATGTAGGTTACACTAACAATATCGGAGACATACTAATCCAGGTAACATTGGTTTGAGAAGTGAAAACCCCAAACATTCATCGTTTCCAACAAACAGTTACTATTTAAGTACATATTATGACAGACGCAAACATGGGGATGAGTAACGGTGGACTAAGATGCCAACTAGTTATAATTAATAGCCATATCAAACGCAGTAAAAGATGACAGATGCAGTTTCTAGAAGAAGAAAAAAACCTAATCATCAATTAATAAACACTGTAAAAAAAAAAAAGCTCCGATGTCCAACCTAATTTATAGAAAGAAAAAGTAATCATTACCTTATATGCCTTTGCCTAATCAACACACGAGCATGGTGAATCGACTTGGCCATCCCAGACTTGAACACTAGTGTTTGCAAGCGGCGCTCAAGGAAATTCTCAACAGTCAAAGCCAAGACATAATCAAGCTTGTTTTGGCTCTCATCCAAAAGTCCATACCTGTTCATTCTACGAAGAAGCGCTTCACCCTCAAAAATACGGCGAGGGTTCTTCTCATCAAGAGTAAGAAGATCCCTGGCAGCATTTCGAATACGGCTCAAAGCATACTGAACCCTCCACAACTCCCTCTTACATCGCAGTCCATACTCTCCCACAAGCCTCAACTCTGCATCCAATCGCTCCTTTTCATATGGACGCCTTGGCTTCTTAAAGGTCTTCCCATCTACAATCATTCAACAATATCATTAATAAACAAAAAATTAACGTCAGTTCACTCAATAGGAAGTCAGGGACCAAAATAATCACAAGGCTTTATTTTTTCAATTAAATCAATATACCAAAATCATAAATCTAAACAAGTACATTTTCTCAATTAGGATCCAAGAATACCGTAATCAAATCAACTAAATTATACTGTAATTTAGGTCATACGATCTACAAAATTGTAAACAATCTTCTATCACAGATAAATCCAACCCCGCAATTGCCAAATTCAAACTTTCGTCCTGAAACGTAGAATCTTTCCTACTGCTTTAAGTCAATCATACTATAATATTCTCTTCAATTACAAAATAGTAACCTAATTGAATAAATCTACAGATAAGAAATAAATCAAAGCAGCTAATGCGAACTAAGAATAAAGCAAAATCCACGGTTAAGATCATTTCTAACATCCTAAGCTATACCAATGAACTCAGATATCTAATTAAAAGCAGGAACCAAAGCATTATACTAGCTAATAGCAACACTCATTTCCGATAACCCAAAAATGATTTCAAAAAATTGGAATGAAAAATGATAAAACTAATATAAACTCAGTTGAAACTACAGATTACGTAAAGAAAAACACAAATAAAGTAGGGAAAGAGACAATAGCTTACAGTTGCGGTAGAAACTGACATGCACCATGACTACGCCTGTTTAGAAAGAAGCGAAGCAGCGAAGAAGAAAGAGGCGCGGCGTGATCGTTATATATACGAGAACCATAAACCCTAACGTTTCCTCATCCTCTCTAGGGCTTTAATCGGGCTGTTTTCGTGAAATATGGATTCAACGCCTTCTATTTGGGCCTCTTAGGGTTTTCCCCATCTGTTGAAGTCCATGAATTATATATTACTTCTTTTAAGGTGGTGCATTATATATTATTTAAAAATACTAACGTGACGTGTTCACATACAGGCGTAAAATTTTATGTTATTGGTGAATTTATAAAATTTTAGGGAGTAAAAATTTAATATTAATAAAAAAATAAAAAATAAAATAAAAAATATAATAATTTAAATTTTTTAAAGAAGACGATTGTCCTAATTACTCCCTTTCGATCCATCTCGGACATATTCACCTTATATATATAACTAAACTGATATTATTAATCTATGGGTTATTGGGTATGTAGCAGATCAAATGGGTCCATTAAACAATTCAAAGGGTGAAGTCGGTCCAGATTTTATAACCACTGGCCACATGAACACTAGATACTTGAAGGGCACCATGCCAAATCGTCGGAGCATAACAATCTAAGAAAAAAAAATATGATCCCTACATTCGGTTCCTTCACTACAAATAATAAATAGAGTAATATCCGATATAACCCAGCTACTAACGGCATTTTGCCTCTCTTACTTTTAGTATCGTATATTTATTTTTATTTATCCAATAATCTTAAATCTATATAAAAGTAAAAGAGTTTACACAAGATAATTGAATTCTATCCCTAATATATATATATATATATATATATATATATATATATATATATATACATATATATTACATATATACTTATACCTTAAGTTCAAACTAAAATTAACACTAACTATTTTTTAATAGGATAAATTACACTATTTATATATATATATATATATTACATATATATTACATATATACTTATACCTTAAGTTCAAACTAAAATTAACACTAACTATTTTTTAATAGGATAAATTACACTATTTATCACTCAACTATTTTTTCACTCTAATTTTGATCATTAAAGTTTAAAACTTTTAATTTAATTACTGAACTTTCAAATTACACCTATTTTAGTCACTCCTTAATGACCTGGATTGTTTTAATATTATTTTTATTATAATATTATATATTTTATTAATTTATTTGCCACATATGATTAAAATAAAAAAATAAAACCAAAACTCTAAAATAATACCCATAAACCTAAATATTAAATCTCAAAATCACATCTCCTTAAGTGGCGGCGAAAGATTTGATTTGAATAGTCCCATTGCATCCTAATCCAAGTCCACAGCAGTTTCATATTAATAGTCCCATTCCTTTTCATCCTCAACCTTCACCGCCGTTTCCTCTTCAGAAATTATTTTTAATAGTCTTTCTCGATACTTTTATTAATAGCTTATGCACCTCCCCTTTTGCCACCTCTTATTATGAATGTCAACTCATATACTCCTTTGTCTTCCTCACTTGCTCGATTATTGAGTAGTAAGGTCTCCAAAGATAGGCATCTCATTGGAACCCATCTTCTGCTCCAAAGGCTTTCAATTTTATCAGTGATTGGGGGTTGCAGTTTGGATTTAGGGTTTTGGTTTTGGTTTTGGTTTTGGTTTTGGTTTTGGTTTTGCAATTGAAAGTCTCATTTTGTGCTCGATTTTACTATCTTCATGTTGTTGGGGTGGTCAACGAGGTTTTAGGTTGGGGTTGGGGTTTGAATTAGGGTTGCATTTAGGGATTGAGGGTTGGTTTTAGGGATAAAACTGTGAGGGTCATCAATAGTGTTTCCATAAAGGCTTGATTGTTTCTTTTCCGTCAACAGTCCAGTTTTTCGATGGGAGTTGGGGATCGATGGGGGTTAGGTTTATGGATTCAGGTTGGATTTAAGGATTAACAATTAATTTTTTTTATAATTTTTAATATTAAATATGAATATATTTGTCATGTCAGAGATAAAATAATAATAAAATAATTCATGCCCTAAAAAAATACTAAAACGTGAATAATTAAAAAATTTAATGATTAAATTAAAATTTTTTAAAGTTTAATAATCAAAATATGAGAGAAGATAATTGAGTAATTAACAATGTACGCTTTTTAATAACACTAGTTATGTTAAACTTTCAATATCAAATTAAATTTTAATCGTAGAAAAATACCTTTAATAAATTTAAATAAAGTTAACTAAAAATTTTATAAAATATTTTAGTTAATTAGGTTAACTGACTAAATTAATTTAATATTACTTGATTTAATTAAAAATTTTGAATTTTTTTTATTTGATTAACGATTAAAAAAGATCAATAAATAAATATTGAATAATTCGTTTTGATAGGTTAATCGAACTAATCAATTAACACTCTTAGAGCCACCGTTAAACACAATATAACAGTAATAGCATTAAATTCGTGTCGGAAACCGATCATAGCTCAGAAGCTCATAATCAACGATCAAGGTAATAAATATATGAATAATAATATAATTAATGTATTACATTTTTTATAGTAATGATATGTGTTGTAGATGTATACATGTTTATGTTTATTATTTAATAATTATTTTTATATTATATAAAGATAATTAATATATATACATATAAAATATTCTAAAAATGAGCATTTTCAAATTATAATTAGTTGTATATCAATCAAGAAATCAATATTTCATTTTGAAAACAAAATTTATTTAAATCGTAATCATATATGTCTTTTTCAAAATTGATAATCTCAAAAATAATTTCTTCAAAAGATATTAATAAGATTTAATATCGAAAATTTGAAATGAAATAAATTAATAAACAATTATAATATTTATATTATATTATATTATCATCGATTAAAATGATCTTTTATCTCTATTATTATTAAAATATAACTCAATATTTCCTGGTTTAATCGATACTTATTGTAAGTTCATTATGTTTCATATATTTTAAGAATAATAAATTAAAACTTTAAATAAGATTTTTTATATTATAGAAATATTCTTATCACTTTTTCTCAACCACATTAAAATACTGTGAGTATTCAGATGCAAACATCCACATACCACCATTTTTAATCATATTATGAATAATCATTCTACATAAAAATAAAATAAAGATGATAGGGTTTCCATAACCAAATAAATTATAAAAATCATATCATATACATAAGTTTGGACCTAAAATATTAGTATAAAGCTAATGAGATATGCTTAAATAATCTTATAAAAGTTTTTTTAACACTTTATGCTTCTCCTTCCGAGACACAAAGGACATATTCTCCTGTTGCTTCAATTTTTACTTTTTAAATTTTTGTCTGCACTGTAATTTATTAAAAAGTAATCATTTAATTAAATTCAGAAATAATTATATAATTAAAATTAAATGTCGTTAGAAGTTTTCAATTATACTTTTTTTCTTTTAATAATCCGAAGTAGTTATATTATTTGTTTATAATTTTTTTAGTCATTGGCTATACATACCATGCGGACACAATTGCTCGAATTCAAAAGCTCTAGAGAGAATTAAACTCCCCTAAACCATTAAGGTCATTGTTGAACTATGTTTTGATATAACAATTTAAGATAAAATTTGACCTAAATTTGAATGTTTATGCATGTGGTTTAAATGAAAATGATATCTCTCTAACAATTGATATCAAAATTTTCAAAATGCATAACATTTTTGGAAAACTTTATGCATATGCACTTAATTTTAACAAATGGTATTGGATATATTGAATTTCATGTGCTACTAACATATTTGTTATTCTTTGTAGAAATTCAATTTCTTTTTAAGTGTCAAGTTCTTAAAGCTAAATTTTGATTGGAATGCATTTATTGAGGGGGAGCTTTGATTTTTCAAATGATTTTTAAATGTCAAATTTATCACTTACTCTCCAAAGTTATGATCGAATTATTTTTGATATAACAAAAAGGGAGAGAAGTTTAGTTTGAAAAATTCAATTTTTAAATAAAAAAGGGGGGAGCTTAACATTTTCATATATTTTCCAACAATTGTTAACAATTGATATCTTTTTCATTAAACAATTTATTAAGGGGGAGTTTTGCCAAAAACAATTTTTCAAATGTTTTGTTATATCAAAAAGGGGGACATTGTTGAACTATGTTTTGATATAACAATTTAAGGCAAAATGGTTTTTGGACTTGAATTGAATTTACAAAATGTTTTTGGACTTAATTGAATTTATTCAAAGTTTTAAAAGGTTTCAAAAATAATTCAAAGTCCATTAAATTAGGATTTGAGCCAAAATGCTAAAGGGTGTCAAAGTGCATCCATGCATCCCTGCAGTGCATCCATGCACCTGCACTAGTGCATCGATGCACCATGCAGTGCATCCATGCACTCAAACACTGAATGCAATTAGTGCATCGATGCATCCTTTTGTGCATTGATGCATCAAGGCTGTGCATCGATGCATCAAGGTTGTGCATCAATGCATCATGTTGTGCATCTATGCACGAAGGCTACAACAGCTAGTTTATTTGAATTTAATGAAGGGGTATTGATGCACCATGATAGTGCACCGATGCACCATGTTATGGGCAGCCTTTTTTAGTAGAAAAATCATCCCCAAACGTCTCTAAAACATCCCCAACGGCTATATACAACATCAAACACATTCCAAGCTATAAATACAAGCTAAGGACACTTGAAGAAAAAAGAGAAAACAACTATCCAAGCAATAAACTTAAGAGAAGAGTTTTTCATTCTTATTTCAACTTTCTCTAGTAAATATTTTGTTCTTGTTAACTCAATCTTGTAAACACCTACCTTAGAGAGATTTTCTTGTTTACTTATTTTATCCTTTTGTAAAGGGGAAATATTATAGCTTATCTCGTGTAAAAGCTAGGGAAATGTTCTAGTTTAGCCCGGAGAAACTAGGGAGTTGTAAGGTTATCTCTTTGTCCTCAAAAGAAAGAACAAATTAGTGAATTTGTTGGAAAATCCTTGGTGAGGAGCTAAGGTAGTGGACGTAGACTTTGGTTTAGAAAGTTGAACTACTCTAAATCGCTGTGCAATTCTCTATCTTTTAATTTCCTTACTCCCTAAACACAAAAACCGATCCCGACCCTCTTTGCAAGCAATTTCGATTGTCGATTCGAGCTTCTGAAAATCCCAACAGTCACTTAGTGAGTTTTTCTTTTAATTACTAAAAGAAAAGAGAAAACTAATGTAATTAAATAAATAATTACATTCTTTTATTTTATAATTAATATTATTCTAAAACTTAAACATATTATGTGATTACAATATGTGCTATTTAAATGACATAAAAAATTAATATATAATTATAAACCTAACTAAAAAATAAATTTATTCTAATTACCCTAATGTAATTACTAACATAATAATTATACTTTCATTCAATCATGTTATAATATCTATATACATTCTTAAAATATAAATTTTAATAAATTCTTTAAGTGGTTTTAATGATAAAATAAAATGGTATTCACTTTAAAGGATATGAGTTTAAATAGTTAGTCTTTTACGTGTGTGCGCATTCGATAATAAATTTTTAAACATACATTACCTAATGATATCATCTCAAACTATTAGAAAATATAAAATTATAATTAAGTGTGTTGAACTTAACATTCTCCGAATTCATAACCTACTAAATATTATAATAATAACAATATAAATTAAATTAATATTTTACACAATTTTAAATGTTTAAATACACAAAAAGTTAGTAAAGAATAAAGTGTATTCATATCAATGTTATTAAAACTGGACCAGATTGGTCGGTTCAATCGGTTGAACCGTAAACCGGTGGCCTGTCCGGTTAACTCTCAAAATTGGATTAGCACAGAATCGGTAAAGAACCGGAAGAATCGACTGAAAATCGGAAAAATCGGGGTGAACCAACTGAAAACCGACAAAACCGGTTTGAACCGCCGGTTCACTTTTTCCTTTAAAAAAAAATTAAACCAAACAACGTCGTTTGTTCAACGAGCAAGTCAAATTCGAGTATTGCTGAGCTCGACTCGAACTCGAAAACTTTAAAAGTAAGCTCAACTCGACTCAAAAACTCACGAGCTAAAAATTATCAACTCGAAATATAATATTAAAACTTGAAATCGAAAAGGCTCGAACTCAAAATAAAATTTAGAAGTTCGATTGAAGCCTAAAATTTGAGCTTAATTGAAGCCTAAAATTTGAGTTCAATTGAAGCGAAAGAATAGTTCGCTATGTGCTCACCAAAAGGCTCTATGATTTTGAATGTCAAATTACCTCTATTATTTATAGAAGTAAGTTGGGATGATCTTCTATGTTTCTTAGTCATGTGGGATTGTTTTGTTATTATATTTTTACTCTTTAAACTTTTAGGATACTCTTCTATATTTATTAGCCATGTGAGATTGTTTTTTTTAAAACAATTAAACTAAATGACATCATTTGTTATGATTTTTTTAAACCCCAATTTTATTTTTTTTATTATAATTATATAATTATATTTATTATTTAATATGTTTTACCTTAAATATTATGTTTTGTTAATTTAAATCATTTTGTTTTACTCGATTTTATGATTTTTCATTTATACATGTTATGACTTATAATATTTTTATACCTTTTAATATTGTAAACTTAAAAAAAATGTTACATATATATTAATATTATTTTAAATATTATGTAAAATTAAAAAATATATATTATTTTATATAAAATTCGATTTAACCGCGATTGAATCCGATTAAACCAATAAATCATTACCTTCATCGATTTAATGTTCGGCCCGATTTTAAAAACAATGATTCATATTTTAACAATTGAATCCAAATAACTAGGATGGAACTCTCCTTCTGTTTTGTTCCCTTATATCACTGTGTTAGTGAGCATTACAGATTCAAAAGTTTAAGTTTTTTCTCTCTCTCTTTGCTGTATGGAAATTACAGAAACAATGGAAGTTTATGATCCCCAAAAACCCAGAAATTGAGAGAAATGGTGAAGGAAGGAGAAACATACTAGAAATAAGTAAAGAAAATCAACGGGAACAAAAGGGAGAAGAAGATTAATTAATAATTTTGAAAACAAGTCTTATACTCTAAGAGCTTATTATCTCCACATGAGAAATAAAAAAACAGATGAAGATCAAGAGGATGATGAAGAGCCATTTGTTCCAGTATGAGCAACACAATCATCAGTTTCAAAGTGATGGATCAGATTCAGATTCTGGCCATTGTTTTTGTCTTCATGGTTGAGTCCAGTGTGGAGATTATTGGCTTCATCTTTCTTCCCAAAAATGTTCTTGTTGTTATGCATCCACACTTTCAACACCTCTCTATGGACCCCAACTTGTCCGCAAAATTCTTGAATCAGCTGTTCGTCTCTTTTCTGAATCCTCCACCCGATTTTATCAGCAAACTCCAGCATCTTGTCTTTCTGCAACTGACTGAACTTCGTCCTGAATCTTTTCTTCGGGATCGAACCCAGATTTGAAGTGTTTGAAGGTAGGTGAGTGTTGTCTAGTGCACCGGTGGTTTGACCTCCTGAGAGAACTAGAAGCACGTGGGGAGCTGCAGGGTGGTAAGACGATGAGATCGGCGGTGGAGAAGCCGAGATATGACTAGCCGGTGGTGGTGGTGGATGGTGGCGGTGTTGAGGGAGGTATTCTATCGTGGGCGTGGTGGTTGTGGGAAGCGTGTGGACTTCGGGTTCGCGGCGGTGGAAGTTACGGTGACAGCCACAAGCGGCACATTTGAGGGAAGTGGGGTCGGTCGGGGTAGATGTCGGGGAAGGCATGAATTCGCCACACCCGTCGAGAGCATGGCCACCCAAAGTGGCTGCATGGTTCTTGAGACACTCTTTGTAGGTTATGACAATGGGTGGCGCGTGGGGATTGTGGGTGTGGTGGAGGTGTGGCTTGTGACGCTTGAGGACACCATTGGTGAAAGATATGGGCTTCGCCGGTTGGATCTGCGACGACGTTTCGCTCTCCGGCTCCGGTGATTTCGGAGAGGCACTTAGTGGGGTGGGGGCTTATCTCCATATCTCTAACATCAAGAGTTAACCAAGAAAAAAATGGAAATTAACAGAAGGATTTTGAGAAATTTGATGGAGTAGAAAAAATTAAGAAAGTTGGGAATGGATAAAAGAAGAAGAAAAAAAAAGATAGATTACTTTTGAGTTGGTGTTTTTGAAGATTAAAAGGGAAGGGTAGAGCCGTAGAGGAGAGCAGTGATGACTGTTGATAATAAAAACGAAGAATCTATGCCTTTTGTGGTTGTCCTTCTTAACCCTAGTTTTAATCCATGGTTAATTTCTACACCTCACTTGGAGTTAGATAATATTTCATTTTATGTAATAAAAATGCGTAAATGATTATTACATACTAAAATTTTATTAGAAAATAAATAAATATTACGGTTACTTGAACTTATATATTTAGTTGAATTCAATTTTTTCCTATTTCACTCATCAAATTAATTTTGTTGATGGAAATCATAACATACACTAATAAAAAAATAATCACTTTCGTTTTACTGTTGTAAAATTTTTGTTATCGAAATTAAAAAGATTAATGTTTTGATCACTTATATTATTGATTTATATCATTTGATACTACTAGATTAATATTGATAATCAATTCTAAACTTCCAGTATCGATACTGAAATGACATATTATAACCATAATTGACTTATAATATTGTTATCGTCATAAGTAATATCGATATCTCTTAATAATTTGATATCAATATCACATGTGTAATATCAATATTGAATGCAACTGATTAACATCATCCTCAAAATATGTCTTAAACTTTTCTTATCCGTTACTAAACAACATATATCATCCACTGTTACAGCTAAGTGCATCCACATCAAAACATACTTCAAACATATTAGAATTCATTAAGATCATTTTGCATACTTATCAATGATACTTCATCAAGCACTATCTCCTAATTTTATCATAGATCACACTTGTTCACATGCTCAACTTACCTTGTTCATCATAGAATATTGCATAGATGTTATCCTTACCACTTTGACAACATAACATGCTTAAACTACAAAGATCATAACACACAAAGTCATACGTAGTATGGTTCATACAAAACAACTAAATCAACTCAAACATGGCTCAAAGTATAATTTAACACATATAATATAAATAAATACATAAGCCCCATAGTAGGAGTTTAGCAAAAGAGAAATTACACTCTCAAAAGAACATTGATGACTTTCACCATATTAGATGTAATCTTGAACTCGACAATAAAGATTAATATCCTATAATACAATTAAAAAAAACTATGTAAACTTAAATATAATAGCAAGGTAGTTTTAACTATGGATATGTCAGGATTATTGAGGCTCTATGGATCAAACGAAATAAGTTAAGAGATGGGTGAATTGCCCTTTAAAAAAATTTATTGTGGAAGTAAAGAAAGACATACAATTTGCACAATGATTTATAGTGATTCGACTTCTCAACCAAGTCTACATCCACTACCTTAGCTCTGCACTAAGGTTTTCTAACAAATTCATTAATTTGTTCTTACCTTTTCTAGGATAAGGTACATAACCTTTACAACTTTAGTTTTTTTCCCAAAGGCTAAACTAAAACATCTCCCCTTTACAATGTTTGTTTTATGTAAAGAAGAAGACCTCTCTATGTAAAGAGTATATAGAATGTAGCTCACAAAGATTGAATACAAAATATATTAAATAAAGCTCAATACACTATGTACAAGAGAAAATGAAAGAATAAAGATTTAAGACTTAATTTAAAAATTAGAATATGCCCAAGCAAAGTAGTATCAGTATTTCTTCGTGCAGTATCAATAATATTTGTGTTAAATTCAAAAATCTAGTCGTTGGAGATGTTGGAGTATCAATATTATACCCAGTAGTATCAGTACTACTGTTATATATAGTATCGATACACATATGAGTGTCAATATCAATTTTTCATTTTGGAATTTGAACAACTTTGAAGACAAATGGTAGTATAGGTATTGTCAAGAGAGTATTGATACAACAAGAACAATATCGGTATTCTTCATGCAGTAGTGTTACTTCAAGAACAATATCGGTCATACATATCAATTTTTTTAAATACTCCTTGTTGATAAATCGGGCAAAGTAAACGAAAGAACACAAGAATTTTAACGAGGTCCGACAATGTGCTTACGTCCTCGGTGCCTAGGCGGCGCAAGAAAATTTTTATTCAATGATAATAGGTTTAGGTTACATCTCTATTTATAATAGAAAACTCTGGTACATAATTACAAATCTCCACCTTGGCAAATATCCTGCCCCTTAGGAAACATTCAATGTGGGTTGGGTTACCTTACTTCTTTAACAACTTGAAACATTCAACAAGTCCAAGCAATGCTTGAACTTGTCTGTTGTTACTGGCTTGGTGAACATATCAGCGGCATTCTCATCAGTGTGTACCTTCTGAAACAAAATCTCTCCAGATGAAACCAACTCTCTGATCTTGTGAAAACGTACATCAATGTGCTTAGTTCTAACACGATATACCTGATTCTTAGCTAAGTGAATAACACTTTGATTGTCGCAGAGCAGCTGAACTCCACCTTGCTGAACACCCAACTCCTTCACTAAACCAGTGAGCCATAAAGCTTCTTTTGCAGCTTCAGCCGCTGCCATGTACTCAGCTTCAGTTGTAGATAGTGCCACAACAGATTGAACAGTAGACTTCCAACAAATAGGTCCTCCACCAAGAGTAAAAACATACCCTGTCGTAGATATTCTATTATCCAAGTCACATGCATAGTCTGAATCCACATATCCTACAACCAAAGGATTATCTCGTTGACTACCAAAAACAATTCCATCCCTGTCCTCTTTACCGGTATATTTATGAGTCATACCTTACACTCCTTTTAAAGTGTAAATATGAATGAGAAAATGTTTGAAAAGATTTAGCAAAGTAAAAACACATTGAAAACATATTTTTCAAGTTCATTTGAACTTTGAATTATTTTTGAAACATTTGAACAAATTCAATTAAGTCAAAAAACGTTTTAACTTTATTTGTTAAATCAATATATATATATATGTTCAACAAAATACTATTGAATGTCTTATATACGATAATGTTTTAACAATAATAATAGAAATGTAGGCAACAGTAAGATGCATACTTCTAGAGCAATGTAAATTATAATAATTAAAACCAATATTAGCCTGATAGTAATCTTTTGACATGCAGATACACGAATCCCCTACAACACTTTCAATAGTGCAATAGCATATCGATATGATCAATCCTCTAACTTTATCGGGATTTAAGTCTAATCAATCATCAATACCCCTCCAACTCTATCAAGATTGAAATCTATATAATATTCGCACACATATTATAGACTCTACGGCTTGCCGACTATATTCAGATTCATCAAGGTAATTATGGGCAATTAGTAAACACAATATAATTAATTACCATATTACTAGCAACTGTGACATTCCTATAACTTACCATAGTATAATGTTTGAACTTTTGGCTTGATGTTTACAATAGTGCAATATAGGTTCGACATAGATCATAACACATCTCTAACAGCAATACGTCAACTAATTCAATACAATCACAACACACAATGTTTGAGTACTTGACTATCTTTTCACAACAGTAAAATATAAGCTCGTATTATTCCGAATCATATTTCAGACATTGATATATTAACGAACTCAATGTGATCATGAACCAGAGAAATATATACCATAATTGATACATGCATCAGAGTCCATGATCTTATTTTCCAATGCTTGTACGAGTGGATTATTTGGAAGAGTTATTACTTCTTCCTTTGATATGAGGCTTGTGATGCATGTATCAATAATTGATAAACCGTAGAGGTTTGCCAAAGCTTTTTTAAACTATGGAATCAATATGACTACACTCACATAATCAAAATTGCATAGATTGCCTCATATTATACAATCTCGAGAACTTTAGATTTTTCTTTTAACGATTATGAGTCTACTAAATTTCCTTACTCTAGCAATAGAAAATATAAGTTCACCAATATATTCATCATCCAAAAATTAATAGTTACTTAAACCTCAAGTTTACATAAACCCTTAAATATGATTAAATTTAGGGTTTCACTTGCACTTGGATAATGATAAAATTAATAATAATATTTAATAAAAAAATCTATAAGCTTTTTAAATGTGTACTCAATTTAAGATTTTGAGTTCTTAAACTATTTGAATCTCTAAATTCAAGTTTAAGGATTCATGTTAACTTTCTCCAAAATTAAAAATGGAAGATATCTTATAAAAACTTAGAGGGAGTTTTTCAAATATGAATTAAGAAAATAATTTCAGTGATCGAAAATATTTTTAAATATATGATTTTAACCAATTTTTTTTTGAATTTGCAAAAATAACCAAAAAAAGCGCAACGCGAACTCCTATTTCGCAACACAGTTTCCAAATTCGCAACATTAATGACCGATATAGGTAAACACAACTATCACAATGCGAATTTCGTTTTTGCAGTGCTAATTACCGATATAGGTAAACACAACTATCGCAACGCGAATTTCGTTTTCGCAAATCGAATTCGCCAATTTCGCAACTTAATTACCGATATAGGTAAACACGGTACAAAAAATCCGGTCAAAAATCTGAATTCGCCAATTTGAAAACTGATTTGCGAATTTGGCAAATTCGTGTTGCGAAATATAAAATCTCACATCTTAAAAAAAATCATTTTGATAGTTCGTTTGTTTGGTTAAAGTTAAACGAAAGAATGAACGAACATGAACATACCCTCGTTCGTGTTTGTTCAATTCATTTACAGGTGTAGGTTTAGCTGAGTGATTCATACGTGGACTTAGCAACTGGGGGTTTAGCTGAGTGATTCATACGTGGACTTAGCAACTGGGATGTCCCAGGTTGAAAACAACTCCAGTGCATTTTATGTCCTTTAATTTTTTCTTTAAGAGGCGAGATTTTACATTTCGCAACACGAATTTTCCGAATTCGAAACTCAGTTTTCAAATTGTCGAATTCAGTTTTTTTACCGGATTTTTTCTATCGTGTTTACCTATGTCGGTAATTGAGTTACGAAATTGGCGAATTCAATTTGCGAAATTCGCGTTGCGATAGTTGTGTTTA